GTAACAATGTCCTTGCGGCACATTTTGCAATGATAATCAACATCATTAAAAGCGTTAGCTTCTTCTTCATTTTTTATATTGTCGCATTGGCAGTGTGACCAGCGTTCACAACTACTACATTGTATGATTAGTTCATTCTCATTATACGATTGGCTACAAACAAAACAAGCAGTTTGGCTTGCACAAGGTCCACACTCTAAAAATCCATTAAACCAGGACGAATTCTTACCCGGTGAATTGCGTCCACATTTTTGACAAATGGCACACCATTTACATTTCCAATTGCCATTGGGTACAGCGTCTAATGGTGGACTCATGCAGTAGATGTGATAGGAAATATCACATTCGTCGCATAATATTAGTCTACCTTCATCATTCTTCTGTCCACACCCTTCACATACTGTGCAGTCTAAGCAACGCCAGCCTTTTTGAAGCATTGTCTTCGAGAGAGTTACGTTGGCACAGTGTGGATGATAACATTGGCCACACTGAACACATCCAATCAAACATGCTTCTTGGTCTGTACCTAAGGCACCACACATAACGCAAATATCTTGCATGAGAATAAATTTGTCTTTAGCCGAACATAAAACCAATTTCTTATCCAACGACATATCATCTTCGGAGCATTGAGAACTATTCAAATCACTACTCGTAGAGGGAGTTGACGAAGAGTTCAACATTACCATTTGTCTTCCCTTGCCACGTACACTACGTTTACGATTGAACTGACTGAGAATTCCCTTTCCCATAAAGAGTTTACCCATTTTTCCGCCACGATTCAACTCTTTAAGACTTATACGTTTTTTGGAAATTTTCAATGGATCTACCATATTGGTAAAATCTGCCCCACTGTCCTTGTCATAAAATTCCGCTTCCAAATCACGCGGAAATCCATCAGCAGATGTGGTTAAAGAATCGGTGGAGGCAAAAGACATCAAATGCTTACCCGACTTACATGGTTGACAAACATAATCATAGTCTGGATTTGTTTCCTTTTTTACATGGTAAATATTTAGATCTGCTTCATCGTCGCAAGTGCTGTGAACGAACCTAATGTATAAAATTGCGCAAATTAGAAAAGAGATGAAATTGTAGTGTAGGGTATATTTACTTGTTACATTTGCTGCATTTTACCATTTCTTTGTGGGAAGCTGCCCGATATGCTTTATGACAAATAGGACACGAAAATCCCTTATTACGTTGTTGATAACATGAATCACAAATCGTGTAGTGACAATGCCATCTAGAGGAAGCGCCAGCACCTGGTGTACGAGCACCACAGTCACTACATACTCGACAGCGCTAAATAGTATAAAAAATATTTATTTTATATTTTAACGAAATTAATGTATTTTTTTATGAAAATCAGAAAATCAGGAGTTATTTCCTTAAATAAAACACCAATTGAAAAATCACTTATATTTTCCATCAAAAATTGTTTTTTAAATTAAAATAAAAAATCTAAAATTGCCTAAAAATCCTTATAGAACAAAATCTGTTGTCGCTTATATTTTCCATAAAATGTGACCGTCAAATAACGTTCCAATCAGGAAAATATCATTCAAGTTTATACATCATAATACTAATTTGCTATTTACAATATTAAATCCTAAACTTACGTTACATTTCCAGCCATACTTGGGTACAGATGATATAATAGGTCTCAAACAAGTGGTATGGTATATTTTTTGACATTGCTCACATTTAACGGAACGATTTTCATTGTTTTCCGTTTGACGGCAAATTAAACATTTACAACATTGCGAACAATTCCAGCCAGATCGAGAATCTGTTACACAAAAATGAAAGCATTCCTTAAAAAAACTCATTAAAAATCTATAAGTTTACCTGGAAAGTTTGCTAATCCAATACAATTAGTGTGGTAATGAGCACCACAGCTACAACACATTATAAGTTTTGCTATGTCTCCCAAACCGCAGCATTGACGACACTCAATATTGGTATCCACCGCTAAAATTGATAATACATAATTTTTGAGTTCTGTTTAAATTTCTTTAGAATATTCGATTACCTATAAATGGTACTTGACTTATATGTTCAACGCAAAATGCTTGAAAAGATTCAATTATAAGAAAACATCCAGCAGCAGCAGCACATGGCAAATGATAGTTTTTCTGACAACTCATGCGACAATTTATACTGGCACCATAACGCAAACAGAATGAACATTTACGAGTAACACTTTTGGCCACCATTTCCTCAAAATTTGGCACAAAATCTTCCTCAATGCGTTTCAATTGAAGTGACCACATAGCACACATGCTATGAATGTAAACGAAACAACCCTCAAAAATAATATTCTCAAGGGAAGGCACTTCATCATGACCTACATTATCTAATTCATTGACACATTCATTATTAACAGTAATTTTTGTCTTGATGGTAGCCAATGCCTTTTTGCGACCACTATTATCTGTGCAGTTCTCTTGATTTTCGTCTTGAGTTTTTAATATTTCGGACGTTGTGGCGAAAGCGGTTTTTAAAGTTTCTCCGTTGACAGTTATCTTTAGCATGTCGCCTTGTCCCAGTGAACTGCGTTCACATAGATTGCATAAAATGCATACCTTTCCAGAATATTTTTCAGCAAAATAAGGCAATTCATCATTGTGGGCTGTCGACACCGTTGATGGTTTGTTAGATGTTGATTCTTCGGCAAACCCCATGTTTGGACTTTCAATCACAAACGTATTCAGATATGTCGATTGAGTAAATGGATCTTTATTGGGTTTCTTTTTTGTTTGTTGTAATTGTTGCTTTGTCGGTGCACGAAAGGATAATAGTGGATTTTCTTTGCGCGGACGTCCCGGGCCACGTTTCGAGTTGATTAAGGGTTTGTCTTCCGCTATAGGCAAAATAGGATCATTTCCCAGTAGTGATGTAAATGAGCTGTTTGAAAAAAATGTGTTGGCACAGCTGCTGCCCCCACTAGTACTTGTATTGCACTGTTTGAGTAGGATATTAATATTATTTGTTTGTATTAGATCTTCATTTAAAAGAGATGATGATGGTGACCCTGCATCTCCCAACTCAGATGTAGGTGCTATTTACAAAGATGAGTGAAATGAAATGATATTATATGAATAATTTACAAATGGAAAATGATCATTGTTGCATTCAAGGAATGATAGCAATTACACATACATTAATATGTACCTATGTACATATTTATAAAAAAAAAAACAGGAAAATTGCTACAAACCCGATGACTGCTGGTTGCTGAAATTGGTCAATTCATACTCATCAATATCCAAATCTAATCCAATCTCCAAATCCATATCACATTTGATGCTTTTGTTTAAAACATTTTAATCGAACCACGTAAAAAATAAAATATTCACAAATATATCTACGGAAACGAAGAACTTTACAAATTAAAAAACAATGCGCTTCTATTCTGGTAATACTTCAAATATCAATACAATAAAAAATAAATTCCTTCAAGATTATCACAAAATATTTATTCTCCTTCCACAACTTTAAAACAATTATAAAGTACTTTAATTAATTTTATAAAACTTTTTTTCTAAAAAGTGCATTATTCGGTCCAGATAGTTGCCAGATAAATTAAATACTGAATCGCTTAATATGAACGAAAAACCGTAGGTATTAATAGAATATTATTTTTGAATCTATTTTTGTTTTTGCACTAAATTTTTATATAGTCCATAAACTATTAGTAATAAAATACTTCAAATTTAATATTATTTATATTTTTTTTTAATTCTTATCTTTTATGCAAAACTAAAAATCGCCAATAAAAAATAATAAATTTTTAAATCTGGCAACAGACATTTATTGTTAGATATGGTAATTTTGGTTTTCAGGTAAAACACAGGGCGAGACAATATTTATTTGAAGAATTGTATCGTTTCAGATTATCAGTGATGTATTACTTTAATAATCAAGTATTTTCAAAATTTAATCTTGCTGAATGAAGCAAATTCTTTAGTGAAAACGGAAAAGGGCACTTTTTTAAAAGGAACTTTTCACAAAAAAAATTATTAATATATTATTATATGTATATATTTCAGATTTTTTTTGGGTGTTAGCAATTTTTGTTTAATTGATATTTAGGCATTTTCTTTCTTTGTTTATAGTTTAATTGGCGTAATGAGGCTTTTATATTACAGTAATTAATAAATAAATATAGGTACAGATAAGATTTTTTCTTATATTATATATAAGAGGGAACTTTTTGGTACCTTTTCGTTTATTAATTGGTACTTTTTGATTTTTCTGTAATATTAAACCGTGCCTGTATTCTGTAACTTTCGAATCGAAAAATTTATACATAATCGTCTTGTATAAAACAGGGTAACACACGTAATTCAAGTGCCGGTTCACACAGGCAATTTTTTTTTGGGAAAGAGATTGTTGATATTGCTTTCTCTTTAGTTAGAAAATTATTTGAATTATATAACTAAAAAATGGAAACATAAAATTAAAGATACAGCTAGCTTTCAGATTGAATCGGAATAAAATAGTACTGGTAAAATGTCACGGTATTCATCTAATACTTTTCAAATTTCCTGCAATATTGAACTACACCAACAACGCTGAATCCGAATCTGGCCTCTCCATCACATATTTTCCAGATATCGTGCCATAAAGATTGAAAAAACCCGTTTTTGGTAATATTGGAGACGTTATAACAGCGCGAATACATCTTTATTTATAAAATTAGTTATGCAGTTTGAAAGTCTAATCTTCGACATTAAATAAAAGGTCTGTTATATCTTCTTCCAATTCGAAATATCTTTATCAAAACTAAAAAAATAAATTACAATCGTAAATTCTGAAAGTAAATACCTACCTACAATCGTAAATTCTGAAAGTAAATACCTACCTTTAATCATATCTTATGTTAAAAATTCGATTAAACATTTGCAAGTTTTATTAAGGTAGATCGACATAAAATAATATGTCTAAATTGTTATATATATTTATAGTATATATATATAGTTTGTATAGTTCTTTAATAATTGTAAACGGTTGTTATGTAAATATTTATTAACAATTGTTTATATATATTTTTCTAAAATTAATCCTAACACTATACATAATGTAAATATCATTGTTTTTTTGAAACCTTTGGAAGTATAAACCAATGACGTACCGGTATTTCTGGAAGAACAACATTCAATTGCGAAATCAATTAACTTTGGATAATATTCATTCCAAAAATTAATTTTATGATTTTCAGATACAGCTTTAACGTTAAAATCTTCATTAATTTGTAAATACGTTTGATTATTAACGTTATACGAATTCCATTTTAGATAAATGTTAAACGATGTAGGATTAGATGATTTTGCAAAATTTGCCCATAGTGTCATAACTATTTCAGAAATTTTTTTATCGGTCGAATTCCAACGATTTATAAACATGTTATTATTCATATATGGCACTCCCCAAATAAATATTTGATCAAAATATTTCGGCACACTAATCCAAGTGGGGAGAATATAGAATTCGGTAAGTGGGCGCATATTAAAATAATAAACATAAATATCTTCGTCAGCACTAAGAAGATTAGCGAAAAGAAATAGTGGAGCTAGATGCATTCTGTCTGTGTGGAAGCTTATAAAATTGTTAAGTACCGTTTCCTGATTAACATTTTCTTCGTTTTTATACATAAGATTGATGGAGTCCAAAACAATTGGATAGTCAGTTTCGCAGAAATCACTTTGATTTGTTTTGCGTATATCCTCCATTGCTACTTTTGAGGCAAAACTTTCAAAATCCTCAGCCGTCATTAAGGTTCCATCTTTTTCTTCGTCTAGGATTTGAAGAACATCTTCCATATCCGTAATACCAGCCATAACCGGAACTTTATTATAATTTCCACTTTTTAAGAGCACTGCAGGGAAATCTTCTATGAAACCTTTAGAAGTATTACTGAATCCTTTGTCAATCACTGGACCCCATTCGATTTCAGGTACATTATCCATTAAAATTTTAGCATCAAGTCTTTTTAAACACTGTATCAACATTGAGGTAGGTTTACGATTGCAAGCAAAAACATGGGCCACTGAGTCCAATAGGGGACTAAAATGATCAAATGTTCGAACTGTATCTTCGGTAAGTGGATTGCCCGACATCATAATTACTTTGTGGAAAGCATTTCGAGACCAATCGCCTGATGTCAAATGAAGTCCGGCACTGATGGCGCCTGCCGAATGACCAATTATTGTTACTTGTTTTGAATCCCCACCAAAATGTGCGATATTTTTACGTATCCATAGTAAAGCAGCAGATTGATCCATTAATCCAAAATTGCCTGGTGCTTCGGCATCTCCAGTTGTTAAAAATCCTAATATATTTAACCGATATGCTACGGTTACTACAATAACTTTTTGTTTAAAAACCATTTGGAAAGGATCGATATCGGTAGGACTGCCGGAGGAAAAGTCTCCGCCATGAAACCAAACCATAACTGCATAACCAGTAAGACCAGGAGATCCTTTAAATATAGTTAATATTTATAAGGAGATAAAAAATACGGTATTTAATTCTATATATCCTCACCTGAAATGCAAAAGGGCGTAACAACACTTTTCAAAATTTTACAGGAGAGACAAAAAACTAAAAACTAAATAAAATTAAAAGTATTGTTATTAAAATGTCTTTTTCTTCCATGTATTATATCCTAACTTCAATAAACATATCTGCATACATACATATATGTAAATATGACTCCAGGCATAGTCTGGCTTTTGGAAATGACTAATTTGTTGTTACTCCCTTTTGAATTTCATCTTAATAATTTTTTTGTTTTTGACAATACATAAAGTTCTAAAAATTTACGACGACATGTATGTATTTCGATGTAACGGACCATTTTCAATCAATAAATCGATTTTCAAATTTTTGGTTGTCACGCCTTTTTGCATTTTAGGTGACGATATTAATTTATAATCTTCTGCAATGGTTTAAAAATATATTTTAGAAACAAACCAAAAAAAAAAAAAAAAATAATAATAAATAAATAAATTTGTTAATTTAGAATATGGAGGTATTCAAGTAAATAAATTTGTTATTTTAGAATATGGGGGTATTCAAGTTCTGTTGGATATTTGTATCTCACGCACTAATAGTGCCTGTGGAAACTTGGGCAAATGATAGGACTTTTTTTGATTTGTTCAAAATTTTTTTTTTTTTTTGTATAAAGTAAAATTTTTAAAGTACACTTTGGTGAAGCGAATTTACGATTCGGAACATACATATGTATGTACATTAGGGATATAACTATTGACATTTTTTTTTTTTGCAAATATGCAAGTTGGCATAGCATAGCCGAAGCATTAAAACTATGAGAAACTACGTTATTATTTTTTCGCGGTTATTAAAAAAGTTCACGCACCAAATGTTATGTCCGTCTGTGTTTTTTGGAGGCTCCATATATCTTCGGAATCCAAATCTTAGATAATTCAATTAGATATGCTTTTAAGAATTACCTGTTTAAAAGCAATAAAATTGGTCCATAAGAATCGGAGATATGGTCAAAACAGATATGGTTAACAAATTATTTCTTATGGACTTTTTAATGTAAAATGGATGTAAAATAGTAAATTTACGTAAACATCAAAAGTCCTCAGATATAGGCCGTAGCGATTCGTGATGTGACAAAAGTATACGTTTCGGTAAAAATTCCCACATATAAATATTTAAAATAAAAAAATAAAAACTTTACAAATTAGAAATTGGGGTTGGGGCGTGATGTTTTTGATTCCAAATGACCTAAAAAATTATTTTCATTACTTTTACAACATTGGCCATCCCGTAGTGGTATGCCAAAAATATCGCCAAATTAGTTATTTCCCTAATGTACATACATATGTATGTATGTACATACTATCACTTGTTTAAATATAAATAGCATTTATCATAGTTTCAATTAGTATTAAATCTCGTTTTAAAAATCGTTAACTATTTTTTTTACTTGAGGCAGAATTATCGGACAAGACCTTGCTTATTAAAGTATGAGATAAGCTCCTTACTTACCATCTGGTATAAAAATATTTAAATATAAACACTCCTCATCATAACCCTCAACAGAATTACCGCCCATTGCATTAGAAGTCATTAGCAATTCTTGTATTTGCATCGTTTGTTTATCTACTTGTCCAATACTTTTTGGCCAACATTTGGGTCCATATGATGTGGCGTTATAAATCATATTCCATTTATTGACTCTTATTTCTGGCGGGGCAAATCTTGGAGCTTTAGCATACTGTATTCCCAAATAAGCTTTTATATTTTGCGTGCGAAACATTTTCATGTATAATCCAACCATTACACCCTGGTTGGGCAAATGTACTGTGGGTGCTTCGAGGGCGCATATTGGCTCCGTTTTTTGACTGATCAAATGTGCAATTATTAATATGAATTTCGCGGATATGATGCTCTTAAGAGAATTTTTTGATTTAGCTGTTAACATTTTTACACTTAATGAATAACTAAGGGAATTTAGGCTAATTTTTGTAAAAAATATATACTATTGTACTAAATAATTTGCATTGCATGAGGGTGCAAAATTATGAGTGGTTGTCATGGCGCTAAAATATAAAAATTTTTGGTTGCCAAGATATTTTTAAAGTGACACAGAGCACGTTAGATTTTAGTAGGGTGGTGATAGTTTAACAATCAAGAAATTGTGTAACATTTTTGAAATACTATTATGGTTTAGTCGAAACAATTTCAACACATTTTTGTAGTTTTTCTATAAATCTTAAAAAAATATATTAATATGTATATTTCGTAACAGAAATAGTTAAGTAAGAATTTCTTCCTAGCACTTTCTTAAAATAAATATTTTAAAGAATTCCGTTTAAAACAAAATAATAGATTTCTGAACGATTGTAGCAATAAATTGCTTTGCCAAAGCGTGGTTACTCCCCTAATTATTACAAATACCCACATAAAGTGTATGTTAAAAATTTTCCTACAAGCAATCACTAGTCTTTCAGAATTGTGTCAAATAAAATTAAACATTTTCTGCATAAATAAGAAAATATAGGCGAAAATCGGATTCGGCGAAAAAGGAGATTTTAACTATAGACAACATGGATAAAAATTATTGATGTATGATACTGAGTATATATACTGCGTTGTATTAATTATGAATTTTTCTTGAATGGAGAAATACTTTTTGTATACACTGTACTGTATAAATTTAGAGGGGGTGTAACATAAATATCAGCCAGATGGGAAATTTGGAGAAAATCCGATATACATATGTATGTATATTAGTAAAAATAACAAGTAATTTGGCAATTATATTTTTTATTATTCAGAAAAATCTTGGTTTAAATTCGCTTATTTTATTCGCAATATATTATACGTTCTAGATATACATACATACAATATACATATGTACATATACATATATTGAAGTAAATAAATACATATGTATGTACATATGTATATAGGATTTTGAATGTACAGTGTGTTGATTAAGCATTTGAATTTCTCTTTCATATAAGGTATGATATCTCGAAAATATTCTGTATATATATATAATATAAAAAACCCGTAATCTAAGAACTAAATATTCAATACCATATTCCGAGAAAAATATGGGTGATAATCAAATCAGTTGGCCTGTATAATTAAAGTAAAATATAATATCTTCTCCCAAAATGTAATATCGTTTCTGATATCATTTCGCTCACAGTTGGGACTATAGAAAAAATGCAAATACTTATGTGAAACACTGTATGAAGTAATTAAATGTCCTTGATTTACAAACTTATTTTGTACATATTTAATGTGACATTTTGTACATATGTATGTATGTATATTAGATGACTAAGACCAGTTAGTACTTAATAAAATATTAATATTATTTCATAGCTTTTTTATTTATGAGTTCAATATACATATTACAAATTGAAAAAAATATGTATTGTACATAATTAATGGATAATTGTATTTATTACAAATATTTATATAGATAAATAAGAAGATTGCTCCTTTAAAAATAAAGAAACGCCAATGCACACAACATTCATCCATATATACAGCACACTCTCACTTTTAACGTAAGTGTTATATTTACCATTAACCATGACTTTAAGATATTGGTAGACATCTGTTTATTTTGTTATTTTCGTTACTCGAAAATATTAGAAAAAATGAAAAATGTATATTAAAATGAAAGAAAAAAGAAAAATCATAACATCTTTTATTTGTATGTGAAGAAAAATCATGCCGTTATGCTTCAGAAATTTTGAATCTTTATCGTGTTTTAGAGGCATTTTAGTTGTATGAATTTATTCTTCAATCAGTTTTACCTTAGAGCTCTTCAATTGCAAATCGAAAATAAAGTAAAACCGAATAAATTCATCTCGTAAAGAAAGTTTTCTTGTTTGAAGATGAGTGCCTTAAGATTTAAATTGTTATTATATCTATGTGGTAAACATTCGAAAAAAAAAGAAAATCCTTTAAAAATATAATTTAAAACATTCAAAAAATCAAAAAGATATATTAAATGATGGGATAATTTTAAAGCGATTATAGAATCTTCTAAAATAAATCAATATAATTTAATTACTCTACAACAAGGATTACATCGTAAAATCGTGAAAATTAAACGGAGCTCATTTTATTCTAATGTGATAAAATATTATACGTTAGAAATTATAAAACGTTTTGTTTAAATACTCTTAAGTATGGTTTAGAGATAAATTTAGAAAATGTAAAGGAGTTACACTGAAAAAAGTTTAAAAGGAAATTTCTCCTTACTGAAATAATAAAATCAAAGTGTTATTTATATGTTGGGGGTTTATCTTTTAGTTTTATTATTCTGCATTTAATGAGTTAAAGGGTTTTCTTATTTTTTTAAATAAAATAACTATAAAAAATATATTTTAGTACAAATTTTTATTAAAATAATATAAAATAAGTCCAATATTCCACAACGTGCGTGAATGTTTACACAGGCCACCAATTTTTTAAACTTAGTGGCCAAAGAATACCTTTCTAATGAATTGAGCTTTGTGGAATGCGAACTCCGTCATATCAAGTTTTCGTAAAATTGAAAAAAATCGTTTTGGCCATATTTGAGACGTTTTAATAGCGCTGAGCCATCTTTATTTATAAAATTTGTTGTGTCATCTGAAAGTACAATCTGTCGACTTTAAATAAAGGTTTAACCTCTGTTATGTCTTTTTCCTCTTCGAGATATTCTAACCAAATGCATGAAACTACCATAAACTAACAAAAATTGAATTTTTAACTACATTTCGCCTTTATTCTATGAAAAACTTTTACATATGTCACATTTTGTCATAAATTTTCCCATAAAATTAATTAATTAATTAATTTTTGCAATCTTTGTGATATTCTGATGTGATGGATATTCGGATTCAGCGTTGCTCAATCCTTTGAAATGTATACTTTAGTCTCTAAGTTTAAACTTTTTTTAAATTTTGTTGGCCTGTGTTATAATCCATTAATTTATAAAAATATACTTCTTAAAGTTAAAAATAATTATTACCCTAGTGTACTTAATATACCAAAAGTCAATAGTAAATTACAAGTATCTCTACATATTTATGTATATGAATATCCTCTTTTATATTATTTTAGTATGTAGTGGTATTCTCCAAGCAAATGGCATACAAAATCTACGCTATACTACAAGGTTTGACAGTAATGTAGGTAAAATTTAGATTTAATCGCACAAATTAATTAATAACAGTTATTTAATTTAGCAATTACGTTTTGGTAAGCGTCAAGATTTTTTAACAAAATCTAGACTTTTTATGTGGCAACCAGCATTAAATTCCGGTCAAATGTATCCCAATATTAAAACACCTGCAATGCCACTCTCTTTTAACCGCTATGGCATTGCACCTCCACCTCCAATGGCCCCAATTCATCAAAACTATATGTATGCAATACCAACCAAAGTTAATTACCCTTCTTACCAGCCAAAGAAAGAAATCGATGATAAAAGGTATAACTAACTAAGGTTTCTAGTATGTAAAACATTAGAACGCTTTGTTGGCTTTCGTGAGGCGGTCTAATGTACAAAAAATGTGTATTATTATTTCATAGACATGCTAATTATTGTAATTTTAATTCCTATTAAGAGTGTAAATAACGTTGGAATTTTTTTTATTTATTTTATTTTCGCTGACAGGAAGCCAGGAAATTTACATCATATTACCATAATTAATGCCATATTGCCAAAACCTTATTTACCAACGGTACCTACCCATAGCCATCCAACAACTTTTCGAAATTATAGAACTAATAGTAAACTACTGTATCATCAATATTTTAATAATAATTTTGGGCGCCAAAATATGGAAAACTTAAATAAAATTAATATGCAACAACTTCAATTGCAACAGTTGCAGCAACAACAACAGATGCAGCAACAACAGCAAATGGTGTATCCTTCACCTTCTTTAGCTTTCAATATTAATACACCAACGAATGGGTATAGGAATACTAATAACTATAATGTCAATAACAATAACATCGATCAAGAAAACGAAATAAATAATCCGGTTTCCCAATGTGGACGGAAAGCTATAAATGATTCTAATCAATCTGCCAGCAATGTCTTATACTACTATTGTAATAACCGTATAACTAACTATAAAAATCCTACCCAACAACAATTGATTTCTATACCACCCACAACGTCGTCAACATCTACATCAACAACAACAACATCGACTACATCAACTACTACCACTAGTACGGAGGCGCCTACTACCACAACACACTCCACAAAATCGGCTCGCTTAGATTATGATTTTTTCCGCACCGAAAAGCCAATATTTTTACCAACTCCTATTGCCCCTTTGGAAAACAGTTTTACCCCAATAGCAACATCTACCACAAGTCTTAGTAATTCTATTGTTGATTTCGATAATGACAACGATTTTAAACCACAGAGTCAAAAATACAGACAAACGAAATATGAAAACAACATACCTCAACAGCGCCAGCGACACCGTCAAACTGTAACAAGGTATAACGACATAAAGCGACAACAGCAGTATACAACTGCTGCAGCTTCAACATTTGACGATATGAAACTTCATAGTTTCTTTACCATAGAAGATGCTGTTACCAGAGCTCCAGAAATGCAAGTTTTCAATGATCCATATCAAGCATATAGACATGCTAGAAGACATCATCATAGCCATCAGCGACAAACAACTACAACAAAACAACCCGATACTACAACAACTACTAGAAAACCAAAATTTAAAAGTTTCTTTGATGATCTGGAAGAAGATGATTATACAATGCCAGAAGTCTCCCAATACGATTATTCGCTATTTAGTAATACCCCAAAGTCAGTTTATCGGAATTCGGAACTTCGTAATGAGTTTAAATTTCCTGAACATAATCAAATTTTAGATCATACGCATAAACCTACGGAAGACAATGAACTTTTCGCTGTTGACGAACCATATTATGGTAAACCCAAAATAAAACAACATAATTTCGGATTATTTCAAGCTATTACTGCCACTGCCAACACAACACCTGTTATTACAACATATAAACCTTATGACAATTTCAGAGATTACTTTTTAACTACTCACAAAATGCCTCATTCGTCTTCCTATGACTTGAACCCCTTACCATTATCTACCACTACAGAAACAGTGTTAGCAAATCTGGAAGCGATAACCGAAAAAGAAAATACCACTTCCAATGTATTTACAAACGAAGCTCGTACTTCAACTGCGGTTCCGATTACAACCACCACAGAAAAAAAATCGAGTAGAATTATATTAAAATCACCATTAAACCTAAGATCTCCGACAACATTTAAATATCCAAAGCAAAGTGGAATACGAAAATCGTATAAAAGTTTAACATCTACCACCACCAGAGCCACGCCTTCATTAAAAAAGGTACCAAAATATCAAAGACAATATAAAACAAAGAAATTGAAACAATTTAAACATTTGTTTACAACTTCGAGTACAACTACTTCTACAACAACTTCCACAACAACCACACCCATTCCGACTACAGACACACCTACAAAAAGGATATCAATACGATTAATGCCAACAACTTCTACCACTGAAGAGCCGACAACAAAGAGAGCAATGATCACAAGAACATTTTCAACAACAGAAGCAACAAGAATAAAGAAATTGAGACAACAGCCAACAGCTCTTTTTACCACTGAAACAACGAGCAGAAAGAAAATGAAATCACGTACTTCAACTACACCTACTATAGCAGCAGTAAATAGTACCACTACTAGAAGACAGTCTCCTAGACGAGGCTCTAAAAGAGCCAATATTCCCAAAGGTGAAGTGAAAAAAGAATCTTTACAATCAACTTTGAGAAAAACTGAAAATAAAGGTCGACGCAGGTCTACTTCAACATCTACAACCGCAAAACCTTTCATAACTCGGACAGCATCAAGTACAAGTACTACCACGCCTTCACCAATATCCACAAGCTTAAGAACATCATCAACAACGACAACAACCATGAAATCTATAATGAGAATAGCCAATAGTAAGTCACGTACAAAGCTACACAACGACGTTAAATCGATAACGAAAACTTCGAAAGGGGAGAAAGATGACCGTAAAGATTTCGATGAGAGAATGTCATTAAAATCTATAACTTCCACAATTTCCAGTGTACCACCATTGCCAATTGAAATATATTTCAAAAAAAGTCATGCTAAATTATAAACTTTAGTTATTTACCAAAGATGTAATGTAAAAATTAGTTAAATTATTTTTTGTTTGAATGCAAAATAAAAATAAAATATGAATATTAGATAATGGGAAGTTTGCTTATTAAATACATTAATACAAACTGTCCCTTATTTGCGATATTTGCCTTTTTGTAAAATGTACAAGTATTATTGTTTTGTTGGTTAAACAGGATAAATTGATAATTGTTTTGACTATTGAATAAGCAGGATTTGGATTTATTTTTTTTCTCTCGATGGTTTTGTCGGGTAAATTGTAGTGACCTTATTCGCACATTATTTATAGAAAAATTAATATCGCACGGTACTAGCATGGTGGTGTAACGAATAATTTGATTATCCCATCTTGAAACATACATATACCTATTTGTCACTTAATATTCTCATAAATGTGATGTCAAATTAAAATTTTTCTTTGACATCTAATTTTTAAAGTATAACAAAAATTTATTAATTAAAATTAACATTTCTAAAATTTAGTTTTTATCTGGTATTGAGGTATGTATACGTACACCATGCATCTCCTTTATTTGTTCCTTGAGTGTATTAGTTACCAATTTATGTTGTTTTAAAGTATTTAAGCCTTTGAATTCATGGGCTTCAACAAAAACTTCAAACATAGCTCCACAGCCACCGGAAACATCCGTTACTTTGACATTTGCCTATTTAAAAAATTGAATATAAAGCGACCGTTAGAATTCCTTATTACTTAGATGGGGAAGGAGGTTTTAATAAAATCCGATGTACGCACCTGAGGAAAACGGTTGATTAGCAATCTGTGAATTGTTTGCTCCGCATTTTTAGCTGTACTTGAGCACAATGAGCGCAAATTAAGCTAATAGTATAAAATAAAATACAAATGATTGTGTTTTTTATAGATTAATTTATCAAAATACTTACAAAACGTGTGAAAAAACTCATTGTGCAAATTTTACGTAAAAATGTTTGGGAACAAGAAGCAGAGGCCTGCGCCGACAAATATTAACGACAACGGCGACTGACACTAAAAATTTCGGCGGCGGCTTAAAACCGACTGTAAGCCGGCTAAGTTTTCAAATACGTTTAGTTTTTAAATTTTCAACGATTTTAAATAAAATCGGAATCCGAGGGATTAAAAAGTGGGATTTTGAAAGCAAATATTTCAAAATCGGGATTTTCGACCAGAGTAGGAACTTTTTGTATTCGTAAATACTATTTTATGTATTTCTCTCCTTATAGAACTCATTTTCACGAGATTTATTTTTAAACTCACGAGAACTATTTTTATTTCAACTCTTCATTTCACCTTCGTGCGAAGGTTATACACTGGCGAGCAAATATGAGTAGCAGAATTTGGATGTAAAACCATTTCTCTTCTGCTGAGCGATTTATATTTGAGATTTATATAATGCATGCTAAGATGATTTTAGCTATTTATTAAAATTGTGATGATCCCAAGAAACCAACCAATTGAGTACGCATATTGCAGACCTGTTCCAACAGGCCATTCGAAATGAAATGCTATTTATTCAAATCCAAACACATTTCCTCATTTCTCCAACGATCTAAATTCATATTCCGTATTTCGGATGTAGTAGGAAAATTTGTTGGGTATTAAACGAAAATTAAACTTAATTAAATCCAACACTTGCCTGTTTCTTTGCACAATGACCCTTGACCCTTCTAAGTTCAATTGTTATTAATGAATTATTTCTTATTTAAAAAATATTATTTCTATCTTTTTAGATTTTTGCACTTAAAATACACATGTCCGATGCCCTAGTCTTTTACGGTTTGTCAAACAGCAATGTATTTTTCGTATCTCGCGTTTGTAGCAAACACTTTTTGTTTGTTAATTTATTTCCTTTTTTGTTGTTGCAAAAATAACAACTTTTCCAAGATAAAATTTATATTTTTTCTAAATTAACAACTTTTAAAGTTTTCTTAATAAAAAAGTTTCCACTTCCGATGCACACTTTGTTGTTGTATCTTTTTCGTTGCAATTTTTTTATGCAAATCAATGAATTCGCTGTATTTTTTTCGCGGCAATTTATCCCGCCGTTGACCGGTATGACGACTTTTTTCGCCAAAAAAGTCATCATACCGAGTCTTCATACAACTCCGTGTATTTCTTATGTGTTTGACGGCCTAAGGATTAATACTTTCATACACCACGGCGAATCATCAGTCAAATCAAAAATATTTTTTTTGTAAACGCCCTGTGTTCAATTCTCCATCGTTTCTTCGCTTCATTTTCTAAAAGTGTCTGAAAAATTTTTCGTTTTGTGGTGTTTGCGATTTCTTCTGCTATTATTATTGATAAAAAGCAATATATTATTTTAAAGCAAACGAAAAAGGTGATATTTTGATTTAGTTAATAGTTTATTCAAGTCGATTATTAAATTTATTGCATATTGCATTAAATAAACACAGAAAACATAAGTGATGATGTATGTGTATACACCTTATAATGAACGAGTAAATAAAAAAGATAGGCATAATCATCATCAACATTAATATTAATGCATAAATACATACATACACATTCATACGTACATACATACAATGTACATACGAATTAAATAGTGGATATTGAATATTCGAAGAAAACCTAATTTAAGTTTTAATAATTTCTAATAAGATATTTTGTCATACTTTCTTATTTTTATTTTTAGGATTGAAATGAACTTTTGTTAGTTATGAATCGTAGAGGTATTAACACAAACACAAATATAAATTCACAAACAGTCATGGACGATGCCAGTTGGAAAAACGTAAATGTGCCCGAAAATGCTTCAATGTTGGGTGGTGGTAATAATAACCCCTCCTTGAATCCTGATGCTTCCAATCAAGGAGGTTTTGCCCAGGGCAATATGCCGTATGGTGGTTCCAATACACCTTATTCACAGGCTGGTCAAAATTCTCCGGCTGGCAACCAACCATTAGTATTTCCTAATGCCAATCCTACAGGTTCTAATACACCACAATACACATCGTCACCTGCTCCTTCGGGTTCCTCAACACCAGGACCAGTTGCACAGCAAAATATGTCGGGGCCATATCCTCAACCAGCGAATTCCGGCAATTTTAATGGACCAGTCGGTGGACCCTTCGGTTCGCCCTCTTCAGGCATGGGACAGTTCAGTCGTCCGGCAAGTTCGGGCACTCCATTTAATAGTGGCCAAGGTGGACATTTCCCCGGCCAAGCGGTTTTTAACGTCGGCGGTCAGTTCAATTCGATGCCCCCAACCTCATCATTCGGTCATGGTGGTGGTCACCCCATGATGGGAGGGCCACAAATGGATCGTATAGATCCTGGCTACAGACGCCACAACTCGTATTTTAGCCACACGGAACATCGTGTGTTCGAAATGAATAAACGTCTGCAGCAACGTACAGAAGAAAGCGATAATTGTTGGTGGGACTCTTTCACAACGGAATTCTTCGAAGACGATGCCAAGCTTACAGTACTCTTCTGTTTGGAAGATGGTCCGAAACGTTACACAATAGGACGTACATTGATTCCGCGCTTTTTCCGCAGTATTTACGAGGGTGGTGTATCTGACTTGTATTTCCAATTGAAACACGCAAAGGAATCTTTTCACAATACCTCGATTACATTGGATTGCGACCAGTGTACGGTTATCACACAACATGGCAAACCGTTCTTTACGAAAGTATGCGCAGATGCCCGTCTTATTTTGGAGTTCATGTATGACGACTATATGCGCATTAAATCGTGGCACATGACAATCAAAGGTCACCGAGAACTTATACCGCGGTCAGTAATTGGCACTTCACTACCATCAGACCCTATGATTTTGGAGCAAATTACCAAAAACATCACTAGAGCTGGCATTACAAACTCTACATTGAACTATTTGCGTCTGTGTGTGATATTGGAACCTATGCAAGAGCTTATGTCGCGGCATAAGGCGTATGCGTTAAGTCCCCGCGATTGTTTGAAGACGACCCTTTTTCAGAAGTGGCAAAGAATGGTCGCCCCCCCGGGAAAAAAAGACCCGCAGAGGCCGGCGAACAAAAGGCGCAAAAGAAAAGGGTCAAACTCGGGCGGGGGCGCAAACGCAAACACGCCACCAGTGAGTAATCAAAAGCGCTCCCCGTCCGGTCCTAACTTCTCACTGTCGTCACAAGATGTTATGGTTGTCGGTGAACCCACCCTAATGGGTGGCGAGTTTGGTGAAGAAGATGAGCGACTCATAACACGTTTGGAAAACACTCAGTACGATGGCACCAACGCTATGGACCACGAAAATCACACTGGCTTTGGTCATTCAGATTCACCCATTTCTGGTGCAAACCCCTGGAATATCGATAGATCAGGTGCAATACCAGCTAGTCCCGGTAGTGGGTCTGTACAGAATAATGCAAACATGGCTGATATAGATAAGAAAAGTCCAATAGTATCACAGTAAAATATATAAATATATAGTTTCTTTTTTTATTAAATTAAATAAAAATACATAAAATTTTAGCGTAGTTACGTTAAGTAAAAATTGTATTTTGACAAAGCAATTATATATAAGAGCAACAAAACAAGCAGACACAGAACACATTCTCATAACTCTAAATACCAATCAAATGCAATCCAGACTCCTTTGAAGCATCATACTACTCTATATTGTATTAATGTAAAACCACACGCTCACACAAACACACAATTATTAATAATAATAATCATAAACCAATATAAAATAAAGCAAAATTTAAATAGTTTTTAAAGAAGAAAAAATAATTATAATGTAACATTTAATGCGTATTTTTTCACTATTTGTGATGCTTTATTAAATATACTATTCTTCATTTTCGAACGCATCTTTTGATAATGATACAAGTGGATTTATCTCGTCTCCTTTTTTGAGAAAACCCGTACATACGATTTTCATAGGCTGACAGCGAAGTATCACATTGAAAGTTTATGTTCATGTCAGACATCAATCCAATACAGTTAACCATTGTATACTAATAAAAGTACGAGTGTAGCATGTCTCGCCATTCTGTTTGAGAGGATATACGGCATTTCTGAACAATACTAGGAGCGAAGTTTAAAAGGATCTATTTAATTAAAATTTTTAAATGTAGTGTAAAATAAAATACTCTTCAAATAGAATGGTTGACAATTTTTTTAATTCAATATATAATAGATTGAATTTAATTCTATCATGATCCAAATCATAGAATTTAAATACAATAGGAATAGTTGATTTTATTTAGTCCAATTAGTAAACTATTGAAATATTTTCGGAGAAATTTATCAATCGGCATGAATTAATTACTTATGTTATTAACTCAATTAAATACATCGGGAAGCTCTTATGCTTTTAACAAAAATACACTTACAATAACAACAAATTATTTACACTATAAAATCCTACCTTTAGTTATTAGCAAGTTGTAATAATGGACCTAGATCTCAGGAAATGCGTTTGATAAAAATATTTGATTAAAAACAAGTAATAGTGCTATAATGTCGAATTTAGCAGCCTCGTCATACTACATTTTTGTTTATACCATTCATCTTCGTGATAAGCGGAGTCGATTTGGCGATGTCCGTATGTATGTTAAATGAGTTTTTAGAAGACTCCAATTATCTACGAGAAAGAACATGCTTTTGAACATACATATGTACATTATTCATCGAAATGTTTTCCGATTTGTTCCATAGCTCCCATATAAAGTCCACCTCAGAAAACCACGTAACCGTGAAGAATGACATCGTATTAAAGTTCTACACGAGTTGGTCCATTATTTGTTTATAATTGAAGCTTTCAAAACATATAAAAACGTAAATTTCAATTATATATTATGTATATAATTGGTGAAGGGTATTTAAGATTCGGATATTTGAACTCGAATTTCTTGAAACCATGCACTACTATTATCCACAAAACTATTAATATAAAATAAAAAAAAACTAATATTTTGCTTAAATAAAAAGCAATTACTTTTTATATGTATTTCTTTTCAAGATATTCTGTGTACATTAACATACATATTTAAACTCATATAGCAGAAAACACTACGAATATTGAAGATGTAAACACTACATAAAAATGAATTCCCATTAGATGAGAATCTAATCCAGCGTAGCATAAAATTTACAACTTCAACTTGGTGCGTCTCCAGTGACGTCTCTTGGCGTTGTATCTGAATGGCGAAAGCAATATAATAACGAGGATATATTAGTATAGTTTATAATATTAACTTTTATTATTTTACAACTTACCTAATGGTGTTGCCTGTACGCAAACGGATCCATTGGGGTACGGAACGATTTTGCTTCAATTTTTTGGCAAGCTTTTGCTTGATTCTGAAAGTTTTATGGGCCGCCTATAAAACAATTGTATTTATTTAAAAACATGATTAAAAAATTATTTTAAATTATATTAGGATTCCATAGATAAATATGGATTTTAAAAAAATTACACACCATTTCGTCTTGCTCGTATGAGACAAAAGAGGGAAAAGAAAGGTTGTCAAAGCTGAGAAAACATCGATAAATATTTTAGACAAATGTCAAAACAAAATGCCGATAAATTAGAGATGAGATATGGATGAAACAATGTGGTATCTCTATTTTGCAGGCTGGGAACATTTTTTGTACTTAAAAATATTAAAAATACAAAATAGTATATAGTTATATATAATATTTATAATTTTAAACTAGAAAGATGTATGTATATATCACTTAATTTATTTTATATAACATTTGTCAAAAATAGTAATATTTTATGTCAGTTTATGGAATTGATTAGTAGGGTTCTATAGTTGAAACGAAAAGTCGACTTTTCGACCTTTTTCATTTAGTTAAAAGTCGACTTTTCGACTTTTTGCATTTTGTGAAAAGTCGATTTTTCGACCTTTTAATTAAAAGTCGACTTTTAGACTTTTCAGCTATAAGTATTTTATAAATAGTCGACTTTTCGACTTTTTCCGACTTTTCGACTTATTTCGACTTTTCTCGACTTTTTGACTATTTTCAAATTCTTTCGACTTTTTTTCGACTATTTTTTGACTTTTTTCGAGTTTTTCCGACTATATTAGAGTTTTTTATTTTTTTTCCACTTTTTTAAGATTTTCGACTATTTTTGACTTGTTTCTACAATTTTCGATTTTTTGACTTTTTCCGACTTTTCGACTTTTTCCGACTTTTCGACTTTTTCCGACTTTTCGACTTTTCGACTTTTTTCGACTTTCAGACTTTTCGACTTTTATTACCAAAGTCGACTTTTCGACTTTTTTCACAGACCATAGTCGAGTTATCGACTTTTTTGGATCAAAATAGTCGATTTCGACTTTTCGACAAAAAGTCGATTGTTCGATTATTCGAAAGTCGATTTATAGAACCCTATTGATTAGGTGTGGCAACAATTTTAAAATCGCTGGAATTTCCATAAACAGCTTACTTGTGCTTATACTAAATCGCTGAAATTTTAGAAAGTATAATCGTTAACAAAATTTTTCGCTAGTATTGTTCAGTCCCCGCCGACAATTTTTTATATATACGTCCGACGACATTGTAATCGGCTTATATTTATATATCGCATATACAGAAGATTAAAAACGAATGGATTTCAAATCGACAATTCTCTTATATAGAAAGTATTTTGTTATCTGTGCAGTATTTTGCAAGAAAATGATAAACCATTTCTTAATTAAAGTTCATCACACTCTTTAAAATCGGTCGATTTCAAATCGTTAGAATTTCATTACATATCAAAATATATAAAATATATCAACTTCAAAAAAGATTCAATTTCCAAAAGACATCGGCTCCAGTCGGCTCATAACCGCCGCCGAATTATTTTTGCTTAGACGCCGTCGAGAATTTGGCAACGACTTTGACCTCTGCTGGTATTGTTTATTGATTTTTTGGTTGCGTTTAAGAAATACAAAAATATTTGTAAAATAAAAAAGAAAAAAAATGAATACTACCAAGATTGAAGAAGGCAACGAATTAGTAAGACAGGCTGAAAAGAGGTATGTTGTGATAAATAAAAGTTTTGTAAATTTTATATGAATTATTGTGCGTAAAAGTAATAAAAATTCAATACCTTTGCCACCCACTATATTAGGTCCTTTTTTCGTAGTATGAACGAAAGAATATGTGTATGTATTTCGAATTTAACAGCTATAAAAAACTTTTATTCATAAAAATAAGATTGTATTATCATATTTTAAAAATATTTACAATTATTTATTGAATGACACATAAAAATATGTAAAGTACACATCAGTGAAGTCTCCGTATCGGGTAGAAAGTTTGTGACCTTGAATATTTCTGCATATATTATAAATAATATTAAATTTTCACAATGTTTCTAATTGTAAATAGGTATTAAATGCAGCATATTATTGAAATTTGATTAATATCAAAAACAACACCCTAAATGAAAAAAATTACGAATGGCTTAATTAAAAAAAAAACATTTTCTAGTAAAATATTTTATTACAATTTTTATACTCTTCATGAGAATAAAGGTATAAGGTATTTCAACGACTTTTGTCACAAGTCTTTTTATTATAGATAGTTGAAAATATTAAAAATTTCACATAGGTTTCATACAGATTTACATACTAGCGGAAAACCTGTATTGGCCCACAATTTAACGTAGCTCCAATATACGTTTTTTTTCCGACAATCAATTAATTTCCAGGATCGGCTCATAATTGGTTATACCTAGCTTCCATATAAAGTCCACTTCCAAAATTACTCAATATCATTGAACATAGTTTGTATATATACAGATTATTATGTAATTTTTGTTTTCCGGATCGGCCCATAATTGGTTATATCTCCTATATAAAGCTTACTTCCGAAAATCACTTAATAGTAAATAAGTCGTAAATTATAAGCGACAAAAACAAAAAATATATATCATTGCACAAAAAAGTGTTCAGTAATCGATCAATATTCACTCGGAGTTTTAGAAGCATACATTAGGGAATTCGAAACATCATTAAGTCAAAATGAAAACAAAATTAAACAAATTTTGCAAGCAATCGAGAAAAGGTACGAAGAAAATCTTAAAATAATACTCAAAAAACCTGTGAAAAAAAAAAAACTTTCAAGAAATAAAAAAAACTTTACCGCACTATTAAAAATAAAATAAATATAAAAACAAATAATAGTCAAATAAAAAAAATCAAAAACAAGTAAATATGAAGAATTTCGTTCAATTAATACTTTAAAATTATGTCAAAAAGTTTTTGATAAAACTGTTAAAATGCAACAATTTGGAATCAAATGACTCATCAAAACTTCAGTCTGGATTTCGAAAAAAAAAAAATATTCATGTGAAACAACAGTAAACTATGTTATAAATCAGTGTACCCTGGTTATAAATAGATAAAAACGGAAATAAAAAAAATTATTGAAATTTTTCTTGATTTCAAAAGAGTTTTTGAAACTATAGATAGAGACATCCTACTACAAACAATACGCAGATATGGTATTCAAAATATGGAAGAAGATGGTTTAAATCATACTTAACGAATAGGAAACAAATAACGAAAGTGAATAATAGTATATCGAAAGAAATTAACAATGAATATCGAGTACCTTAAGGATCGATATTAGGGGCACTTTTATTTATTATATGCATGAATTATATTCCTAAGATAAGGTACTTCGTAAATGTGAAATAGTATAGTACGCGGAGATACATTAATTTTTAGTGAGGCTGACTCAGATGAACTATACTATATATATATTTAATGTATGATATGATAAATATAAATAAATGACTAAAAATTATTAATCTCAATGAAAGTAAAACAAAAACAATGGAAATAAACATGAACAATAACTCAACCTCAATTGGAAAAACAGCAAAAACTTCAAAATAAAGAAATGAGATCGATAATTAAATGCAATAGATTTACACCAACACAATTAATGCTTGATACACTGAAATGGTTAAATATAAGACAGGGACTTCAACTAAATACATTAACGTTTATACACTAGATGAAAACAGGAAATTCCACAGAATATTTGACAGAGCCACATAAATACGTCAATGAAATGCAACCTTACAGTCTACGTAATGCCATGGTCTTCCGAATTTATAAAGCAACAGATAATTCCATGAAGAGATGCCCATTCTACAAAGGACTACAATTGTTTAATATGTTACCAATTAATTTAAAAAATTAAAGACATTTTAAAGTTTTTAAAAGAAATATTGTATCTTTTGTATATAATGTATATCGAAATATTCGGCATAAGCAAACATAACACAATGACTTATTTATTAGTAATAAATAAGTCATTGTGTGTAATAAATTATTACCTACTTTATAGACAAAATGCACACTGAAAAAAATCCATGCCTAATATATACGAAAAATGTCGTACATTGTACGAATCGTTCGTTGTTTCGCACCATGAAATTCTTTCGTAATATATACGAAATTGTACGAAATATTTTAGTATAATGCATAATAATCTTGGAAAAATTAATTTACATAAATTGAAAAAAGTGAATTTTTAATAAATAATGTAAAATTTACCAAATATTAATTTATGCAAACATTTTTGTTCATTTTAAAATAATTTTTCTAATTATAGTTCAAACCCAATAAACCAAAGAACGATATGATAGCGAAAACGGTATTGCTTTTAAAGGGCGATTATGATATCATATTTCATTATTTAAAACGATATTATTATAATATCGTTATTATAATATCGTTCGATACTTCAGTTTTGTGGTAAGTTGACATGTATGCAATTTTGAAAAGTTTCAGGTATTTGCAAGACAATGCATAATGTGATGAAAAATATGATTACTTTAAAATATGTATTAATGTATGTATGTAAATATGTACAAATGAATGCAATCCTTCCCTATTCAGGCTTTTTTATATGTATAATAGCGAAATATTAAGTTAAATAGCGTTTTAAATGAAATTTTAAGAATAAAAGAGCACACAGAAAAAAAAAACTGAAAAAGGCGATTTAACTATCATTATTTTTGGAAATTATGGTAGCGAAAACGATATCATAATTTTATGGAAAAACGATATCATAAGGAAAGGTACCATTTAGTACGTAAATACTATCGTTCTCGATACGAAAACGACTATCACTTATGATATTTTTTATCACCTAAGTGATATCGTTTCGATATCGTTATAATATCGTTTGGTTTATTGGGAAATTATTTTCCACACGAATTTTTATTTTTTTTATGAAAATAATTCGTGAATAATATTATACTTTTTCTTAAATTTTATAAAAATGTTGTAGTTTTATTTAATTATAATTTAATTAATATCATTATATTTAATTTCGCTAAAATTTAAGAAAAAAATATTACGAAAGGCTTTCGTACTTTCGTAAAAATAGAAAAGTGTTTTATTAAATAATATTTGGTATTATACACGAAATTTTTGTGAATATTACGAAAATAGAAGTGAAATTTTTTTTCGTAAAGTTGAGCAGGGATTATTTTCAGTGCACTAATGAACTTACAGAAATCCTAGATTTTTACAAATAAAAACTATACATATAAACCACTCACTATAGTATGCATTATGCGTAATTTCATATTTGAATTTAAACTAAAGGGATTTTTAATTAATAATAAATATTTCCTAAAGTTTTTCTTTACTATACATGTTAAATACACTTTATTTGTTTTAGCATGAAAACAGGACTACTTAAATGGCGTCCAGACTATGACATTGCAGCTGATTGTTACACTAAAGCAGGTAAATGTTAATCTCATTACAATATAAGAAATAAAAACTAATATGTTAATTCTTTTCATTAGCGACTGCATTCCGAATAGGAAAATCATATGATCAAAGTAAAGAATGTCTTTTAAAAGCGGCTGATTGCCATAAAAATAATAGTTCTTGGTTTCATGCAGCCAAGTGTTATGAACAAGTACATATTACATTACACAAAGAAACAAAACTGAATAGATTCGTTAAATTTTAATCACAATAAATTTGCAGGTTATTTTAATTTGTAAAGAAACAAACAACTTGTTACAAGTTGAGGAGTTTGCCAATCGAGCAAGTCATTTATATCAGCAACATGGTTCGCCAGAATCGGCCGCATCCGCTTTGGACAAGGCATCTAAGGTTGTTGAACAAAAGCATCCGGAGATTGCATTACGTTTCTATCAAAGAGCGTTGGAAATAAGTATGGTAAGTATATGATTATGATATGAAAATCTACCCTTTGATCTGTAGCTGATAATTGAATTTGTTTTTTGTTACTGCCATCTATAACAATAACTACTTAAAAAAAGATTGAGGATTCAACACGTTCTGCTGCAGAATATGCTTCCAAAGTTTCACGTATTCTGGTTAAATTACAAATGTAATTCTTGTTCTTTCATTATAATTGTTAATTCTTTAATATGATTCGCGAGGAAACATAATGATGTTTATAATATTTTTCTTAAATATAGGTTTGATCAGGCTGCTGATGCTTTAAGGCGTGAGATCGGTATAAACCAACAAACTGAATCGTATGGTCATATTGGTAGACTTGCTGTGGTGTTAGTGATGGTGCAATTGGCAAGAGGCGATCAAGTGGCAGCCGAAAAGGCATTTAAAGAGTGGGGCAATTGTTGTGATCCCCAGGAAGTGCAAACATTAGAAACTTTGCTGCAAGCTTATGATGACGAGGATCCTGAAACCGCTCAAATGGCATTGAATTCTCCATTTATAAAACACATGGATGTAGAGTACGCAAAGTTAGCACGACAAATACCCTTGCCCCAAGGCATATTATCTTCCTCAAAAACTGGTGTTATTAAAAATGCCGCAGCTTCATATACGTCACCTAATATGGATGTAAGTTATATATATTTTTGTTAAAACAAAACAACTTTACTCGTTATTTGTTGTTTTAGGTATCCAATTCAGAGGCTGCTGCTGGTGGTAGTGCCAAAAATGACGAAGATGACGATGAGGAAGGTGGACTTTGTTAATTTATTGTATATTTTTCTCTCCTAGCTTAATTGTTTTAATGCCAGTTATTATATTATATTTGATTGATGTAATTAACAACAATGCAATCTAAAAATTTCATTCCAAATATAAAGTCAAATGTCGTTAAATATGTACGATTACGTTTACTTTAGAAGAAGGATTAGACACACCAATAGTGCAGAATTCGAAAGGCTTTACAAGTTGTAAAATAAAAATGCAAAAGGTCAAAAAGTCGACTTTTACTAAATGCAAAAAGTCGAAAACTCGACTTTTCGTTTCAACTATAGAATTCTTGTGTGAACCGGCACTAACAGCAGAAAACTTAGCCGGCTTAAAGACGATTGTGAGCCGCCATCGACATTTTTCCTATCAGCCGCCGTTGCCTTAAATTTTGATCGGCACAAGTCTCTGTAGCCGAGTGGAAGTTCTTTTTGCTTTGCGGGTGTATATCTGTAAAGTCGTAGAATTTGTTGAAAAAGGAAAGTTTCAACAAATTTATAAATTAAAATAGATTTTTAATTTATTGGTAAGTTTAAATAAATAATATACATATGTAGATAAGAAAAACTACAACAAATAAGTGTAAACAGCCACAAAGGTGCTTTAGAATAAGTTTAACCAAAAATATTGCGAATAATTTGCAAATCACGCACGTGTTTTTCTCTCAGAAGAAGGACAAATTTTTGTCTATATTGGAAAATAAATTTTATTTCCACCATTGTGTTTTTCATTATATATTCCAATAAAAATTGTAACTTTTTACTTAAATAATTATACATTTTGTTAAAAGAATTTGATTATTGTTATTTAAATATGTACGAATACATTTGTGTATTATAACTGTGTGTATGTATGTATAGACGCGAATCTGTAAACCACCAACCATGCTTCTATGGTTGATAGACAGGCTACTTATTGTGTGATGACGATGATGATATATCAGACATAAATGCCTGGCTGCCTTGCCTGTTCTATAAGTATTGTTGTTGTTGTTTCTTGCATTGTGTTAAAACTACGCAGTTTAATATGATTGTTCTTGTGAGCTTTTAATTTTTTTTTATATTTCCCTTTTTCATTAACATTCCGTCACATTTGCTACTTAGAATATAATATCAATTTATTAATTTAATTTTTTTAATTCTTTTATTAATATTTCATTAGTTAATCAATCGGAAATATGGATGCCCATCACGATACTGAAGATACTGCCGAGTCCATGAACGAGGATGAGGAGAGAGGTTTTTCCTCTAACCAGATGGTGTAAGTAAAAAACTAATAGCTTTTAGGTTTTTTGGAGGCTCCTTTTTCTTTGTTTTTTTCATGTCTGGAAATTGACAAAACTATATGAATGTTTTTTACCGGCATTTTAAAACCGGTTTTTAGCGCTCATACAAAATGGGTATATTCAGTTGTACTTCTTGTGTCTGATACACACTCATAATGTTTAAAGAAGTGACCCCATTAACGACAAACGTCTCTAAAATATAATTAAACGATTGTGATAATTGTTTAATTTATTTGTATACTTTCGCCATTAATTTAAAAATTAAAGAATTTTATTAATTAAAATATTAAATGTTGTTGTTAAGTATTTTCTGACGTCATGGCTAATGCGTCATTAGTTTAAAGAATTTTGAACATTTGCCAAAAGCAATAAAATTATCTATGTTCACGCTTTAACAAAGATTTTGAAATTGTTTAAAATTCTGCAGCAGCTCATTAACATTGAGGGTCTAGGAATCAGTTCTTTCACAATAGTTACCTGGTTCTACTCTGGTTCAATAAAATGCATATTAGATCTGAAACTACTTATAGTCAATGAATTTTCAATAGATGTTAAATACTTTTTTAAAGCTGGTTCCAATTTTGAAATTTTTAAAGAAAAATACTAAAAAAATACTAATTTTAAAAACTGTTATTTGTAATTTGTTGTTTTGTTTTCTATATTTTGAGACATGGAAATGTGAATTTACTTTGCTAAAAATAAATCTATATCATTCCTATTTTTTAATTGACTACAGGCCTGCATATATGAATGCTATATTGCGTCGCCAGTTTCTTCAAGAAATGGTTAAAAGTTTGCCAGCTCCATTGCAAAATCGTATTACCGTTTTGAAGAATCTTCAATTGGAACATTTAAGTCTTGAAGCTGAATTTTTCGATGAAGTTTACAAATTGGAAAAGAAATATCAAGAAAAGTACCAACCTCTGTTCGAAAAGAGAAAAACTATTGTGACCGGTGAAGTAGAACCCCCAAAGGAGGAACCCAAGTGGAAGCCAGAGCCAGCAGATGAAAACAGTGAAGATTTACCCGACTTTAGTAAACTGTTGACAAAGGTTAAGGAGATTCCAGAGGATGCAAAGGGTATTCCAAATTTCTGGTTGACTATCTTCCGCAATACGGAAATATTGTCTGAAATGGTGCAAGAGCATGATGAACCCGTTTTACAAAAACTTACTGATATTACTATTAAATACGACGATGAGGTGTGTTCAATTGTCTTTTTTATCTTCTTTTTGTGAAAATTTAACAAAATGTTCTATTGCAGCATTCGTATACTTTAGAATTCCATTTTGATAAAAACGATTACTTCTCTAATCAAGTGCTTACCAAGCAATATTTCTTAAAATCCGCTGTAGATGAAGATAATCCCTTCGGCTTTGAAGGTCCCGAAATTTACAAGTGTAAGGGTTGCAACATCAACTGGGAAAAGAAAATGAACTTGACCGTTAAGACCATCAGGAAGAAGCAAAAGCATAAGGAGCGTGGTGCTGTTAGAACCATCGTTAAGCAAGTGCCCAATGATTCATTCTTCAACTTCTTCAATCCTCCTGAAGTACCAGAGGATAAGGAAGAAATCGATGAAGATTCTCAAGGCGTAAGTTTTTGTACAATCTTAATAATCAACACCTTTACTGATTTGCATTTTTCCTTAGATTTTGGCTACCGATTTTGAAATCGGACATTTCTTGCGTGCAAGAATCATTCCTAAAGCCGTTCTGTATTATACTGGTGATGTTATTGATGATGAAGACGAAGATGATGATTCCTTTGATGGCGAAGAAGAGGAGGAAGAAGATGAATCTGGCGACGAAAGAGAACACAAACCCAACAAAAAGAAACCAACACCCAATGAATGTCCAAATCAATAAGTAATATACGATAAACAATCACAAAATAAAACTCATTTTAAAAAAGAAATCAAATTTCACATTAAAATGTAGTTTTAAAAAATACAGATTCATAAAATTGTGTCCCTATAAACACCGTTTCCTTTTATTTTTTAATTGTGAATTAACTATTTGAACAAAAGAAAACTAAAAATAATTAAATAAAATCATCTTTATTTTGAAAATAACTTGTTTATTACATATTGGTCATCTACATATTTTTATATTTGACACATTTATTTACCATCAGCCAGTAGAGTTCTACGGTCCAAAGGCAAAGCTAAAGCCAATACAATTATTGACATTAAAAACGCAAACACTATTAAATGTGCAAAAGAAATACTTTTAAATTTAAGCAGAGATATCTGGATATGTCTTACCACAAGTAACAATATTTACAGGATTCATTATAAGAATTGTAATGATTTTGTGCTGTTTTAAAGCAATTCGTTTGATAACTGAAGATCGGTAGTAAAACTCAATATTTTTATAGACAAACAAATTGTATTAATTTCAAATGTTATTTTAACATTAATTCTTCTCACGAAGTCGTGTTTTTGCAAAATTAAAAAGTTATATAAATTTTAATTAATTTTTTAAATGGTGGGGCTCATATTTATATTCATGTATGTTTTGTAAATCGTATCGATTTCAAAATCGAAAAACTTGTAAAACCGAATTTGGTGTTCTGCAAATGGCATTTTTATTTGAACGTAAAATTCAGGGAAATAAAAATATTTTTAATTAAAAAGAGTTTAAAATGCCCATAGCATTTATATTATGTTACAATTGTATTAAAAACTCAAAAAATAATCATTTATTAGAAAAGAATTACATTCGATTTACTTTCGACTAGATTTGTGTACTCGGTTTTAAAACGAGAAAATTGTGGGAATTTCTTTTTAAACGAGAAATTTACTCGGATTCGATTTACAGAACAGACAGGATTGAATCTGTAGAAATGGTGTAAAAGAGTGTTTTAAAGATACAAATTTCTAAATACTAGGTACGGATCGCCGAATACGTGATTGATTAAAATTTTGTATCGGAATTATGCTAAAATGTATTAGATTTGTTGTTCTCTATCGTACACCTGAATGATAAATTTTACTCGTTTACAAATGCAGTAACACATAATAAAAAACAAAAAAATAATTTTTCGATTTTTAAATTTCTTCTAATTTATTGCCACCCTAATGTTAGTTCTCCTAAAATTATTGTGCATCCAATGAATTTCGAAAGATTAAATAGTGTTTTATAAAGCATATGCTAAGGCGACGAGGAACTTAATCTTTAACTACATTTTTCAATCTTGAATAACGATTTGCTTAATTGAAAAGAAACTCTTGAAGTTATTATTTATGTATGTATATTCAATTTATAAAATTAATCCATAATCCTTGTATACAAGGAATTAAAATAATAAACAATATTTATTATTGCAAAAAAAGGTTTGTTTTTTTCATAATTTTTAAAAAATATTGTACTTAATCTTAAAAATTATATTATAGAGAAATTATTATATTACGAGTTTATACTTTTCACTATCGCCAGATTGCATAAATTGCTGTTCAATCATTAATTTACTCTTAATTTTGCTCGTACGATATTAATGAAAAGATAATTTGATTACTTTCTTTTTTTTATTTAATTATTCATTCCGCTTTCTTTTGATCCTGTTGTGGCCGATCGAATTGTGAATACCGTTCTATAGATGATGTCGATAAATACTTCATTTGACCTTGATACAAGATATCCGAGATTATTTTCTCTGCATAAATGGCTTGTTTAGCATCCATTGTACGAAGTTTGTGAGCAACAATTTCCCCAAAGCTGGTATAGTGATCAGAGGTGTTCTTCTGGAAATTCTTACAGGCCAGTGATAAAAGATTCTCGATGTCTAACGTGATATCACTTTTCGAAGTTTTAATGGGTGTTGTGGTGTCAGTTTCATTGGAGTGTTGGGATGAAAAGGATGACGAACGTTTGCGGGATTTGTTGTTGGATGACGGCTGCTGTTTTATGTGGGGTGTTATGCTGCTTGTGGTGCTGGCGGTTGAAATGGTGGTGGGATTGTTAGCTGTTGACGTATCAACAATGAATACTTGATCTTTTCGTATGGGTGTTATAGCGATCTCCTCAATGTCTTGGCTTATGGGTATACCTTTATCCGCGATGACTGAAATATTGACGGTGGTTGTAGTCTCCTCTCCAGTTATATCATCTTCTGGCTCCGTGCCATTATTTTCCTTGTGAATTTCTTTGCAAATGTCTGAAAACAGATTGTTGGGTACTTGCATGGAATCCTCTACACCATTAATGGACTGCTTATCACCATCTACTATCTCCAACGAGGTGCTTTCCGTCTCAGTGCTAAGTAAACGCCTTTCGTTCTTACCATTGCTGCCACGGGTGACACTGGTAATGGATATTTCGCTGCTAGAGTTGTCAATTTTACTGTTATTGAGGATTCTCTTGTCCCGGGTTTCTTCGTCTTTGAGAAACATTAACGATTCAAAGTACTTGCGTTTTGGGCAGTAGGGCTCCTCTTTCTCGCCTTTAGTCTTGAGTTCGTTGTACTTTTTCAGCTGGTGTCGGAAAGCACAGCGCAAATTATTTATTTTCTGTTTGGTTCTCTCAACATTGTAGTGTTCGCCATGTTTTGCAGCTACATCTATTAATTTCATGTAGGCCTCCTGGCGCTTGACCCGATTTTTATAATTAGCTGAATCTGCCTTCCAAAGGCAGGGATTATTTTTATATTCTTGTATAAAGTCGTCAATAAAATCCATAATTCCTATTTATTATTTTTCCTTTTTCGTCAATTGGATTGTTTTCAGTTGATTTTTCCATCAATTGTCAAAATGATTATTGATTTGTTAAATGTAGTGTTGTCAAATCGGCGTTTTTAAAATGATTTAAAACAAAACAGGGTCTTTGCTATTTAAGAGAATTCTAGCGATTTTGCTTTTGAGGTATTCATTTTATTTGAAATCTTAATATATAATTCAGACTTTAACCTTCGGAAACTAACTATATGAACTTAACTGTAGTAAAAATATAATAATAAAAGAACATTAATATTTATTTCTGTCGACAGTCGCTTAATTTTAATTCGTCCCTCGTTGTTTTTGTGTGTAAATGTAATTTAAATTTTTTAATTGATTTACATGATTCGCTATTTAACATTTATTTAAATAATCTTTCTGTAGAATAAATAAGCAAAATGCCTAATTTCCCAATTTTTAAAAAAAGAACAAATATGCCCAATTTTTTTAATCATACCATCTTTTGAAAATACATCTCTACCATTTCAACAAATTTGCAAACTTCAGCAAAATCTCACTTTTTTATATGAAGTTTTTCGATGAAAAATATATATGTATGTACGTGTTTGTGTGTGGAACACAGCGCAAAAAGTAATCAAGTTGAAAAATGTTCGGCGGCTATGAAATTTCTTTCGGCGGCTAGGCTCAGTCGTCTTAAATCAAACCGGCGCAGGTCTGTGAAGGTTATTTTGCAGAAATTTCATTAATTTTTTCCAAAATGTTATCATCCTATGCCAATTCGGGTAGAATATTATCCAGAGTAAGTCCAATACACTGTACAAATACCCGCCAAGATAATATTATTCTTTTTTTTTATGCCACTGTATATTTTAGCAAATTTTAAACAATTGCCGGCACAATGCGCTTATCAATCAATGTAGGACCAAAACATCAACTCCCATGAATACCATCATAATGTTTGTGCCACAACAAGAGGTAGGCTACAAATGTTAATATTTCACATCAATTGATTAAATATAAAGTGATAATTATCTTTAATCTTTTGGAAACGCTTATTTTATGCGGTTCAATTTCATTAGATAACTGATGTAATGTCTTAATTTGATTGCTTGTTGTTGTTATTTTAAGGCATGGATTGTTGAACGCATGGGTCGGTTTCATCGTATTTTGGAGCCAGGTCTCAATGTATTGCTGCCTATAATGGATAAAATCAAATATGTTCAGAGTCTTAAGGAAATTGCTATTGATGTACCCAAACAGAGTGCCATTACCTCGGACAATGTTACTTTAAGCATAGATGGCGTGTTATACTTACGCATTATTGATCCTTATAGGGGTAAGTCCGGGGAAATAGGGAATAATCCGGGATCATACAGGGAAATCGTTTGTATATTAATAAAGCTTTCAGTCGACCTATCCATTTGTCATTCATATAATGCAGTCGGAATTCTAAGCATTTTAATGTTTTAACAGTTTGAAGATTTTCATCGCAATAATTTAATATTTAATAAAAAATATAATTATTATCTAAGATTTCTGGGTGTACTAACGATATGTATGTCCACGAAATATTCACCTATTAATTAAACTTAATTAACAAAATTGCTTAAATTTGTCCTTTTCAGCTTCATATGGCGTTGAAGATCCAGAATTTGCTATAACACAATTGGCACAAACTACTATGCGTTCAGAGTTGGGTAAAATGTCATTGGATAAGGTTTTCCGTGAAAGAGAGTCTCTTAATGTCAGCATAGTGGATTCCATTAACAAGGCTAGTGAGGCTTGGGGTATTGCCTGTTTGCGTTACGAAATTCGTGATATTAGGGTAAGTTAAAAATCGCAATTCCAAGTATAAAAATCATTAAAAAATATAAAACTTGTTTTTTATAGTTGCCTTCCAGAGTACACGAAGCCATGCAAATGCAAGTTGAAGCTGAGAGAAGAAAACGTGCAGCAATTTTAGAATCCGAGGGTCAAAGGGAAGCCGACATTAATATTGCCGAGGGTAAACGTAAATCAAGGATCTTGGCATCAGGTGCAATAATAAAACGATATTGAAATTAAGTCAAGAATATTTTATTAATAATGCGTATTAATTTCAGAGGCTGAACGTCAGGAACAAATTAATAAAGCTAGTGGTGAGGCGGCTGCCATGTTGGCTGTAGCTGATGCTAGAGCTCGTGGTCTAGCTACTTTGGCAAAATCTCTAGAAGATTTAGTAAGTTGTAATTATGTTTATACACATGATTCTATAAATTTTTATTGATTTTATTTTTAATTATAGAACGGCAAAAATGCTGCTTCTCTAACTTTAGCCGAACAATACATTTCCGCTTTTAAGCATTTAGCCAAAACCAACAATACCCTCATACTTCCTTCAAATGCTGGCGATATTTCTTCTTTAGTTACTCAAGCTTTAAGTGTATATAAAACAGTTTCATCACAAAATTTGGGTTCTACTACTACACTATCGGGTGATGATATCTCTTATAGAAGAGAAACCTGTGAGACCGATAGTACAGCAGAAGTTAATGCTCGACAGAAAATACAATCGGGTGGCAATGTATCTAAAATGGATATTGAATAAAATGTATTTAAAAGAACACAAAACAAAAGCAATTTGTTATTAAAAATGTAATCTATGTTTTTATTATTTATTAGTTTAAGTTGTGAAAAATTTTAATATAAATTAGAAATTTGCAAGAATTCAGATTAGATGAATTGGCTTGTGTGAATCTTTTGTTGTAGAATTTAGGTATTCTAGGTTATAGAAAAGTTTTACATGAAAACAAAAATTGTATCTATTCTGCGCAATTTTTATTTAAATTTCGTTTTATTTTGTTAAAACAAAAGTTCTTTTGATCATTACTAAGGTAAATTGATTTTAGACTTTGAATATACAAAATCTGTTATAAATTTCTAAACGTTTTATTTTAGCCTTTAAAACAAAATGCATATTTTAAAATGCTTAGTTGCCAACCAAATACATGTTAAAATCTTTACATTTATAACCTGTTATATTGTACACCTGTTGCATTAATAACATTTATAGACATGTTTGTTTTAAATATGCAAAACTTTGTATAAATGTATCTATGTAGTAGACAATAATATAAACTATGCAAATGTTACTTTTTCAACAATCTCAAGATAATAACTTGTGAACTAAAGGAGATTGATAAATGTTGATAATATTCTTGCTAACAGATTGTAATAACATTTCAAATTAATGTTATGTTAACCATCCTCCACCAAATGTTTTAACATTATTGATTTTCCCCCTGCCTTAAGGTTGGCAACGCTATAAAAAAGGAAAAATTATTCATTCATTCATTGGTGAAAAAAAGCAAGAAAAATTTGCGTGTTGCGTAGTGAAAATTATAATTTTTATTTAAAAACTAATTAAATAATTGCAAATAAATAGGATAATTATTCAAAATCTATTAAGTAAGTGTTAAATAATTAAGGCAGAATGTAAAACACAAGATATAATAACCATTTTCATCAATAACTAACTGTTTTTTTTTTTTTCTAATAAAAGAGGTTGATTATATAAATGCACCGTAATATTATTGTCCTATGGAAAAATTATTCAAGAGGACTAACTCTGCACTAGTACTTAGTTAAAGTAATAATGTATAGTTTGTTTTATTTCAAATATTCATTATTTTTAGGAATTCATAAAAAATCGTTAAAACTATTAACTGTATCCAGAACAACAATACAATTATGGTTATGAAACAATTAAAACTTGTGAAAAATGTAAAACATACGAAAATTTAATAAGATTTAATTTACAGTGATTAAAAAACTATTTGCTATATGCAAAACTTTTTGAAATTTAAGAAAAAACTTAATCTGAAATTGTATTTTTCGTATAAAGTTGTATAATTTTAGTTGTACTTATTATTAAAAAAAAGTCCTTTGATGATAATGATATGTCATAAAAAGTGAAATATACCCATGTACATATGTATATGTATATAAGTATATATGTACATACATTTATGTACATTAGACCGACTCATAGAGTTATTCTTCTCAAGATATTCCTTACTACCCTAAGCAAAATTAAATACAAATGTATAAATCGTATAGAAAAAAGTACTATTTCAACCTTTTTGATAATTTTCAGTTCTTATTTTTATGAATAATCTATAAGTACCATTTGAACAACTTAACCGTCAAAAACTGTACTTTTAAAAATACTCATTCAATTAGGACTGTTTAGTTTCTATGTTAAAGTACCACTTGGAGAAAGATTTCTTATAGATTTTCATTCAATAAGGAGGATATATCTAATTTTATAAGGTTTGGTTCCACATTATAAAAAAAAATTAGAAACTACCATGTAAAGAATGCAAATGTATCATAGATTAATTCAGTCGTAATTCAGGTGTGAGTTGGGGAACAACTCCCGCTTCATCGCCATTATTTTATAAGGATGGCCAGGCTTGTGTTTGTTGCCAAGATTTCGAAAGAATTGCGTCTCACTCGCAGCAATTGAGTGTATTACTTCAAAAAATGCTCCCTTCTCATTTAAACGGACCCATATGAAACTCATAAAGTAGTAAAGTAAATGGACCAAAGTCTATACCTAAAGATTATCATCATATGCTTTCAAAAAGTTCGTTATCACAAATCGGTTTTTCAGAATTTGAAATATAACGTATTTATATTTTGTTTATATTTTTTAGATGCATTATAGTGTAGTAGTACAACATTATGTCACAAAAATCTTGCATAGAACTTAATGAGATACGTAAATTGGACGAAATTCTACGTCAGTGTGAGATTTACGTATCGAAGAACAAACAGACTCCTCTACTAGAGACACGTAAAAAGAAATTTGCTCATCAGATCTTAACCTCTACCAAGCTGCAAAAATTTGTGGAACGTGAACTTTTCTCGCTTATGTGCACCGCCAACAAAATGAATAAGAAAAGTATATTTGTTTCCGACATTCTAATGAACTCCAATTTGTTGTCCTACAAAGATGAAAATGGCAAATATTTTTTACGCAACAATTTCCAAAAGACCCCGAATAACTTTCGTATGTACCATAAAATAGTACGTTCGAATATTGAGGATGACGAGGATGAGTTCATGTATCGTAAGTGTGCTAAAAAGGAAATTTCACAGAATTGTTTGGAAAACATTAAAAACTGTTTGCATGAGAATCTAAAGCAGGGCAAGAAATATGGCTCGAACACCTATGAAGCCATACAGCATAAACGGAAACAACAACTTAGCAAGCAACAACAAGAACAGGAACATGAACAACAGCAGCTGCAGAGGGCACAGCAACAACAACAGCAACAATTGCCTTCACAAGTCCAACATGCCCATTCGCATTTAACGTCATTGGAAAACTGTACGATGAAAACAATGAGACAACCTATGGAAACAGTGGTCGGTGTAGGACCCGGTATATCCTGTGATAAATGTGAAAAACAACGCCATAAAGCGGTACTTATACAGACCGGTTCCGATAACATCAGTGAAAAGAGTCGCAAGTTCAATAAAACAGAGGCTCCTTATGCCAGCAAAGATCATGGTTTTTCGAAATCTATAGCGCAAAGCAGCTGCCAGACTACGCCTGAGGAAAAACGAAAAAATCTCAACAACAACAGCAATAGTCGCTATAAATTCTCCTCGCAAATATTTGGCCGCAAACTATCGTCAAAACATGTCAGCGAACATGGTGAGGACACATTAGATAAGGAGGCTTTATTAAGTCCAAAAATTGAGATTAAATTTCCAGATCCTGTTGAGACGGTGAGTTGATAATTTGCATAACTTCAATTCCATTCACTAATTCATCTGCATTTTTCAGGTTTTGTCGCTGGGGGCAAATGTTTTGCCCGAACATAAAAATATGACCGCTAAGACACATCGTTGGACTATTTTACATTATTCCCCATTCAAGGCTGTCTGGGATTGGATCATTTTGATTTTGGTTATGTATACGGCAATATTTACACCATACGTAGCTGCATTTTTATTGGGTGAACAAGATTATCAGAGACGTACCAATAAGTATATTAACAGTGATCCTATAGTTATTGTGGATCTTATAGGTAATTGGAACAAAGTGCAATGAATATCAATTCAAATTCAATTCGAAACAAAACAGACAAAATTAAAACATTTCAATTAAATATAACAAAAAAGAAAACAAACTATATCAGCAAATAATAGCTACTTGAAAAATACGCTTGAAATAATGAAATTTGCAAGAAACTATATATATTTTTGGATAATGCCAATATTAAGGAAAATTGATGATAATTTTCTCACGTTCGAAAAAAATTTATGAAAATTTCATAAAATTATGATTTTTCTCAAATTCTGTGGGTTTTGAACAAAACATGTTATTACTAAGCGGACGCATTTCAAATTTCAATCAATATATCATTGGAAACGGGGCAAATAATATTTATATTAAGTCGTCAGTTGTGTGTAAAATGTGGGTAAAATTTCTCTTCCTACAGATCTTTTATTTTTTGCGATCGGTCTAATTAATATATATAAAGAAATGTAGCTTATAGATATAATTCTATTATTACTATTAATGTTGTTTTGTCGAAAGACCATAGAATGCAGAGATGGAGAATTTCTTTCGAGTTGATGATAATGCTACGAACATAAAAAATATCGTTGCTAAACACGATCATTTTAAAATTACAAAGTTCTAAATACGTGAGAAAATTCTTAATAAATTGGCGAAAGAAAGCAATTTCAAACTGGCATTCCATACTGATATATTTTATGTAAAATATATAAATGGAAAAGTTTTGGTTGGATAAGGATTTGGAGAATACTGCAAATACATACGAAAAGAAACATCGAAAGTAAAATTTCTATGAAAATATGCGATGAAATTGGTGAAACCAAAATTATTATTTACTTCAAAATTAAGCACAAAAATGAAACTAAAATTGGAAACGGAATGAAAACAAAAACAAAATGTTAAAGGTGTATGTGTGTGTGTGTGAGTTTCTATCATGTCAAATGATCACTTTCCCGCGGTGGACTTCGTATTGAGAATAATGATGGAACGAGTTAGTCTATTTTTGTGAAATGATGTGGTCCCCCTGAATATTTAGTTTCCTTTTTCCAAAAAAAAAAAAAATCACTTCCATCAAAACATACACAATTTTAGACTAATTTTGTGCAATATGTTTTTCTTTATCTAAACTGACAAATTTTTGCCTATTCTTCTGATCCTTAAAATCCATACATATACTTTATGGGGTCTCTGATACCTAATTCAAAATATTTTTTTAAAAATAACCACGTTATTGATTGTCAAAACAAAATGCCACCATACACACCTAAAAACCGAGTAGAATGAATGTCAAGACATTCTTCGTACCTCAATGAGGTAGTGTAATCGAGTGGTAATTTCTTTTGACAATTAAGGCGGCTTGAACGCGCTCATTATACAAAAGCTGTACGCCGAGGTAAGAGAGTACTTATAATAGAATTCAAATTCAAATTCAAATTAAAAACGCTACTTAACTGCATACTTAATTGCCTAAAAGAACTTGGTAAATAATTAAAAACTTAAAAACACCACTGCTGAAATTATTTTTATCTTATACTTAAGTACTTAATATGATTTTACTTTTTTTTATTTTTTTTTTGAAAGTACACAAAATTATAATTGTCGTTGTTGTACTTGTACATTCCTCACCCTAAAAATAAATTTGATAAAGTACTTTTGATCATGAAAAGTTTCCCGGCTAATATTTCCGTTAAAATTACCTTTCCGTTTTTGTAGTTGATGTCACATTTATTGTTGATATATTAATAAATTTCCGTACTACTTTTGTTAATGGGCAAGATGAAGTCGTTTCGCATCCGGGTCGCATAGCAGTCCACTACTTAAGTGGTTGGTTCTTAATCGATTTAGTTGCGGCCATACCATTTGACTTACTCTTGGTAGGCAGTGATACGGACGAGGTAAGTTTGAAAAGTTTACTAAACATTAAACATTTTAATTTTATATTTTTGTTTTTTTTTATATTTAGTAACTACAGTATAAAAAACAAAAGCATAGTAATGTTATTATTTTTTAATTTGTAAATTAATTGTATTTGATTATAAAAAATATATATTTATTTATTTGAATTTCGTTTATTATTTTATTAGTCCATCATTAGCCAAGTTTTAATTTTTGTTTGAAGCTATTAACAAAATATTTAACAATTTAGAAAAATTCGTATAACATAATTAAGAAGGGGTTTGATTTGTTTATTTACAGTGTGTTATTCATTACTAGAATCTCTTCAAAGGGAATACAGTTGTAGACAAATTAAAATAACAATTCATTTTTGCATTGAGATTTGTTTGTCCAAGTTCACTAAAGAGTTAATTTTGGCTAAAATTTATTCTTAAGTTAAGACCTTATAAAGTTTCATCCATATAATTTAAAAATGCTAATAAGGTAGACTTAATCGCTACTGGATCATTATTTCAACAGACTTTTCTCTTCTCTTTAATTACTAAAATAATGTAACAATTATATTATTCTCAAACTGATCGCAGAATTTCTCTATCACGGCAGATTTTTGTGATATTTTAGATCTAGTTCTAGTTAATATCTAATTCCGTTTTAGTTGTTCTAGTTCAGTTCTAGTTCAGTTCTAGTTCAGTTCTAGTTCAGTTCTAGTTCAGTTCTAGTTCAGTTCTAGTTCAGTTTTAGTTCAGTTCTAGTTCAGTTCTAGTTCAGTTCTAGTTCAGTTCTAGTTCAGTTCTAGTTTAGTTCTAGTTCAGTTCTAATTCAGTTCTAGTTCATTTCTAGTTCAGTTCTAGTTCAGTTCTAGTTCAGTTCTAGTTCAGTTCTAGTTCAGTTCTAGTTCAGTTCTAGTTCAGTTCTAGTTCAGTTCTAGTACAGTTCTAGTTCAGTTCTAGTTCAGTTCTAGTTCAGTTCTAGTTCAGTTCTAGTTCAGTTCTAGTTCAGTTCTAGTTCTAGTTCAGTTCTAGTTCAGTTCTAGTTCAGTTCTAGTTCAGTTCTAGTTCAGTTCTAGTTCAGTTCTAGTTCAGTTCTAGTTCAGTTCTAGTTCAGTTCAGTTCTAGTTCAGTTCTAGTTCAGTTCTCGTTCAGTTCTACTCAGTTCTAGTTCTAGTTCAGTTCTAGTTCAGTTCTAGTTCAGTTCTAGTTCAGTTCTAGTTCAGTTCTAGTTCAGTTCTAGTTCAGTTCTAGTTCAGTTCTAGTTCAGTTCTAGTTCAGTTCTAGTTCAGTTCTAGTTCAGTTCTAGTTCAGTTCTAGTTCAGTTCTAGTTCAGTTCTAGTTCAGTTCTAGTTCAGTTCTAGTTCAGTTCTAGTTCAGTTCTAGTTCAGTTCTAGTTCAGTTCTAGTTCTGTTCTAGTTCAGTTCTAGTTTAGTTCTAGTTCAGTTCTAGTTCAGTTCTAGTTCAGTTCTAGTTCAGTTCTAGTTCAGTTCTAGTTCAGTTCTAGTTCAGTTCTAGTTCAGTTCTAGTTCAGTTCTAGTTCAGTTCTAGCTCAGTTCTAGTTCAGTTCTAGTTCAGTTCTAGTTCAGTTCTAGTTCAGTTCTAGTTCAGTTCTAGTTCAGTTCTAGTTCAGTTCTAGTTCAGTTTCTAGTTCAGTTCTAGTTCAGTTCTAGTTCAGTTCTAGTTCAGTTCTAGTTCAGTCTAGTTCAGTTCTAGTTCAGTTCTAGTTCAGTTCTAGTTCAGTTCTAGTTCAGTTCTAGTTCAGTTCTAGTCAGTTCTAGTTCAGTTCTAGTTCAGTTCTAGTTCAGTTTCTAGTTCAGTTTCTAGTTTCAGTTCTAGTTCAGTTTCTAGTTCAGTAGTTCAGTATAGTTCAGTTTCTAGTTCAGTTCTAGTTCAGTTCTAGTTCAGTTCTAGTTCAGTTCTAGTTTCAGTTCTAGTTCAGTTCTAGTTCAGTTCTAGTTCAGTTTCTAGTTCAGTTTCTAGTTCAGTTCTAGTTCAGTTCTAGTTCAGTCTAGTTCAGTTCTAGTTCAGTTCTAGTTCAGTTCTAGTTCAGTTCTAGTTCAGTTCTAGTTCAGTTCTAGTTCAGTTCTAGTTCAGTTCTAGTTCAGTTCTAGTTAGTTCTAGTTCAGTTCTAGTTCAGTTCTAGTTCAGTTCTAGTTCAGTTCTAGTCAGTTCTAGTTCAGTTCTAGTTCAGTTCTAGTCAGTTCTAGTTCTAGTTAAGTTCTAGTTCAGTTCTAATTTAGTTCTAATTCATTTCTAGTTCAGTTCGGTTCTAGTTCGAACTATACTCATTAAAATAGATAAAACAAACTATTTGCTGTAAATACATATGTAAATAATATTGTTTTAAAAAGTCTATACTGTAAGTTTTACTTGAAGTGACTCTAATATGATTACAATTAACCATTGTAAGTTTCTTTTCTATTATTCTTATTTATTTTTGAAATTTCGTTTATTAAAATTGCTATTTTTGGTCCGATTATTGCAATAATTTTTATAATTTTTGAGATTTGATAAACAAAAAAACAAGGAAAATCGGACACTGTCAAGCCTACGTAAGTTAATTTCTTATCTTATTTTGATTTCTTAATTGAATTAAAGTATTTTCTTTTTTAAATTGGCTTTAAACGACTCTAAGCCTTTTCATGACGTTCATTTTAATATAAATTATAACGAAACAAAAAGAAATATTTACCATAATCAAAGATTAATTAATGTTATATTGTTTTACGTCTTTCATAATATTGAGCCTTACTATTGTAAAACGTGTCTACATTTTCTCGCAGTGTTAAGTTTTAAGCTCCACTTCTAATACCCCACTCCTCCCCTTTTGAGTTAAAATTTTTGTTGTGTTTTGTTTTTCGTTTTAATTTTAGTCAGTTTTACTCAAAAAAGAAAAGATGGCGACCGAAGAATAATTCGACAACGTAGTAGGTAGCTGGCATTGAAAATAAAAACTTTAAAATCTCTCTTAAATAATACACTTAGAAAAAAATTACTTAAAAAATAACCATGTGTTTAAAGCCAAGTGTAAACGTTAAAAATTCATTTTTATGTGTGTTTGTTGTTTTGTTTTTTATTTATCGTTCGTACGTTTTCTTTTGTTAAGTTTAGTAGAAAAAAGAATTTGTTTTTTTACTTTAATTTTGTTTTACAATAGTTGGTTTGATATCATTTCTCAACTTCAATTTATTGTTTATTTTCCTGTGCAAAATTGTTCAGAATTGATCAGAAATATATATTAAATAAGAAAATCTACATTGTTTTCTATCCAATTATAATGGTTCGTATAACAAAAATAGTACATAGACCTTTTTCTACAGCCACAACATCGCCCAATCGGTTTAGAATGATCTTTAAGCCGATGACATTAATCCTGCTGCCAGTCTGATTTTTCTTCTTAAATTGTAATTAAAATTCTTTACGAAGATGTTGATTTTTAAATTCCTTTTGAATAACTAAAAATGGAATTAAAACCATTCCGATCACAATAAGTGGCCGTATGAGACACTTTTGATTATCATAATACGATTTCCACGTTTTTCCATACATTTCGAATTGATTTATGAGATATTTTCAGGAACGTATCTTTCCAATCTAGTTATGTTCTAGTTCAGTTCTAGTTTAATTCTAGTTCAGTTCTAGTTCAATTCTAGTTCAGTTCTAGTTCAGTTCTAGTTTAATTCTAGTTCAGTTCTAGTTCAATTCTAGTTCAGTTCTAGGTCAGTTCTAGTACAGTTCTAGTTCAGTTCTAGTTCAGTTCTAGTTCAGTTCTAGTTCAGTTCTAGTTCAGTTCTAGTTCAGTTCTAGTTCAGTTCTAGTTCAGTTCTAGTTCAGTTCTAGTTCAGTTCTAGTTCAGTTCTAGTTCAGTTCTATTTCAGTTCTAGTTCAGTTCTAGTTCAGTTCTAGTTCAGTTCTAGTTCAGTTCTAGTTCAGTTCTAGTTCAGTTCAAGTTCAGTTCTAGTTCAGTTCTAGTTCAGTTCTAGTTCAGTTCTAGTTCAGGTCTAGTTCAGTTCTAGTTCAGTTCTTATTCACTTCTAGTTCAGTTTTAGTTCAGCTCTAGTTCAGTTCTAGTTCAGTTCTAGTTCAGTTCAGTTCTAGTTCAGTTCTAGTTCAGTTCTAGTTCAGTTCTAGTTCAGTTCTAGTTTCAGTTCTAGTTCAGTTCTAGTTTCAGTTCTAGTTCAGTTCTAGTCAGTTCTAGTTCAGTTCTAGTTCAGTTCTAGTTCAGTTCTAGTTCAGTTCTAGTTCAGTTCTAGTTCAGTTCTAGTTCAGTTCTAGTTCAGTTCTAGTTCAGTTCTAGTTCATGTCTAGTTCAATTCTAGTTCAATTCTAGTTCAGTTCAGTTCAGTTTCTAGTTCAGTTCTAGTTCAGTTCTAGTTCTAGTTCATAGTTCAGTTCTAGTTCAGTTCTAGTTCAGTTCTAGTTCAGTTCTAGTTCAGTTCTAGTTCAGTTCTAGTTCAGTTCTAGTTCAGTTCTAGTTCAGTTCTAGTTCAGTTCTAGTTCAGTTCTAGTTCAGTTTCTAGTCAGTTCTAGTTCAGTTCTAGTTCAGTTCTAGTTCAGTTCTAGTTCAGTTCTAGTTCAGTTCTAGTTCAGTTCTAGTTCAGTTCTAGTTCAGTTCTAGTTCAGTCTCTTCAGTTCTAGTTCAGTTCTAGTTCAGTTCTAGTTCAGTTCTAGTTCAAGTTCTAGTTCAGTTCTAGTTCAGTTCTAGTTCAGTTCTAGTTCAGTTCTAGTTCAGTTCTAGTTCAGTTCTAGTTCAGTTCTAGTTCAGTTCTAGTTCAGTTCTAGTTCAGTTCTAGTTCAGTTCTAGTTCAGTTCTAGTTCAGTTCTAGTTCAGTTCTAGTTCAGTTCTAGTTCAGTTCTAGTTCAGTTCTAGTTCAGTTCTAGTTCAGTTCTAGTTCAGTTCTAGTTCAGTTCTAGTTCAGTTCTAGTTCAGTTCTAGTTCAGTTCTAGTTCAGTTCTAGTTCAGTTCTAGTTCAGTTCTAGTTCAGTTCTAGTTCAGTTCTAGTTCAGTTCTAGTTCAGTTCTAGTTCAGTTCTAGTTCAGTTCTAGTTCAGTTCTAGTTCAGTTCTAGTTCAGTTCTAGTTCAGTTCTAGTTCAGTTCTAGTTTCAGTTCTAGTTCAGTTCTAGTTCAGTTCTAGTTCAGTTCTAGTTCAGTTCTAGTTCAGTTCTAGTTCAGTTCTAGTTCAGTTCTAGTTTCAGTTCTAGTTCAGTTCTAGTTCAGTTCTAGTTCAGTTCTAGTTCAGTTCTAGTTCAGTTCTAGTTCAGTTCTAGTTCAGTTCTAGTTCAGTTCTAGTTCAGTTCTAGTTCAGTTCTAGTTCAGTTCTAGTTCAGTTCTAGTTCAGTTCTAGTTCAGTTCTAGTTCAGTTCTAGTTCAGTTCTAGTTCAGTTCTAGTTCAGTTCTAGTTCAGTTCTAGTTCAGTTCTAGTTCAGTTCTAGTTCAGTTCTAGTTCAGTTCTAGTTCAGTTCTAGTTCAGTTCTAGTTCGTTCTAGTTCAGTTCTAGTTTAGTTCTAGTTCAGTTCTAGTTCAGTTCTAGTTCAGTTCTAGTTCAGTTCTAGTTCAGTTCTAGTTCAGTTCTAGTTCAGTTCTAGTTCAGTTCTAGTTCAGTTCTAGTTCAGTTCTAGTTCAGTTCTAGTTCAGTTCTAGTTCAGTTCAGTTCTAGTTCAGTTCTAGTTCAGTTCTAGTTCAGTTCTAGTTCAGTTCTAGTTCAGTTCTAGTTCAGTTCTAGTTCAGTTCTAGTCAGTTCTAGTTCAGTTCTAGTTCAGTTCTAGTTCAGTTCTAGTTCAGTTCTAGTTCCGTTCTAGTTCAGTTCTAGTTCAGTTCTAGTTCAGTTCTAGTTCAGTTCTAGTTCAGTTCTAGTTCAGTTCTAGTTCAGTTCTAGTTCAGTTCTAGTTCAGTTCTAGTTCAGTTCTAGTCAGTTCTAGTTCAGTTCTAGTTCAGTTCTAGTTCAGTTCTAGTTCAGTTCTAGTTCAGTTCTAGTTCAGTTCTAGTTCAGTTCTAGTTCAGGTCTAGTTCAATTCTAGTTCAATTCTAGTTCAATTCTAAATTAGTTATATGTAGTTATAACTTCTCATCCGCTTGATTCAATGTAATATGTTGATCCTCTCTCAAATATTAAAACGTAAAGTATGAATGGGAAGATATTGTTCCCCGCAGCCAATTTAGTATCATTTAATGGATAGATAACACTGTGAGACATGACGTATGACAAAATTAAAAAATTCTTTTGTGATTGTTTTACGAACAAATTGAATTCATAATAAAAATAATAAATTGTTTTACAGGCATTATCAAAATAATGGTCTCTTGCATGTTTGTTTTTCATAGTTTTTTCATATAAAATAATATTAATATTATTAATATATTATTATAAATATTTACGTTAGGCCTGGTAGTATATTTCCGATTTTACTCGTTTTTACTCTAAATATAATAGACTACACCTTAAAAAATAACTAAATAAACTTTTGTTGGTAGAATTTCACATTTCAAAAACAAAATTAAAAAAAATTAATAATAATTAAAATAACAGCTAGTTTGTGTATTTATTATATTTCTAAATTGTAAACCATTATTAAAACTTTGTTAAAAATTTTCAAAAATCAAAATTAAAAATGTCTATACATTTTCATTGCGCTAAATTTGAGGAACTCAATTCTGCTAGAACCAAAGAAATCATTGAAACACATGAATATAGTATTTTTTTAAATTGGCAAAAAATATACTTTTAATTTTGATTTTATTAAAATAATTAAAAGAAAATTATGCATTTCTTTTTCTTACACAACCACCCACTCACGTCCACCCACTTTAGTTCATTTCAGTTCATAACAATTTTCTTCTTATTTTACAAAAATTAAATTTAAAAAAAAAAAATCAATTTTAATACTACATTAAAAAAAAAACAATTTTATATTTAATTCAGAATTTAATTTTAACAAAAATATTTTACAGCTTGGCTTGGATAATGAAGAGGTATTAAAAGCCAGTTTCTACTTTTTTAAAAAAACAAAAAACTTTAATATTCCACTACATACACGATTTATTTTGTTTTTTTTTTTTCTTTAAAATTTTCAATAATTTTTACTACTACTTTGCAAGAATATATAAATTTAAATAACTATAACTATAAACAAATTTAAAGTCAATACTTTTGTTTTCCTAACTGATTAAGTATCTATCAATCTATCTGTATGTAATTGAAAGGGCATTATTTAGGTGGTAGTTATAAACAATAATGTTTTTTTTGTTTTAAACAAATTCGATTTGAACTCAAAACTAATTCAAGCAATAATTTTGTTTCACTGAAAAGCAAAAAAAAAAAAAAATAAATTAATTAAAAAAAATTAACAACTTGTAAGTATTAGACAATTTGGCCAGATCTTGTATTGCCTGTAAATACAACAACTACTTGTACTTCTAATATAAAACAAACAATTTTACCAATAACAACAACAATGCACTTTTACAAAAAACAAATTAAATCAAAATGAATTCTTCTATAAACTATTTAGCACTTTGTACTATGTATAAATATGTACTTAACTAATTAAATAATTAATTAATTTAATAATTCTTTTGATTATTTTGGTTTCATGAAATACACACAATGCTTTTAACTCTAAAAAATTAAGTTAAAACTACAGATATGGACAGAATATATATTTACATATATGAAAACAACAAAACTAATTATTTTCAATTCATTTTATTAATTTGATTTCTTTAAGTTTTTCTTTTAAATTTTGCATTTTTTAATTTTTTTTTAATAATTTTTTCTTCTTACTTATTTTTGAATGGCTTGAAATTTAGGCAATTTTAAATAAATCTAGCTAAAGTTATTCTTTTTAAAACTTTCAACTCTTACTAATAAATAAAATTTTTTTCAGTCAATTATAAATCTAGATTAAAAAACTCTTTAGGGGGTTTGAAACCTTTTTTTATAAAACAAACATATGCATAAAGGTAACGTTATTTATTTAAACGATATTTTAGCGATAACAATATTTCGAATATCGGTTCGGTAATGAAAGTCGCGATCAAGGAGAAGTTTTGTAATTTGCAATTTTTTTTTTAAATTAATAGTTAATTAAGTTTTCAATCTTATAATTATTAATGAATATTTACTTTTTATTTGATTTTAAAAGAAAAGTAACAGAATATTTATCTTTTTAAACCGGAAGATTCCGGTGAGAATCTTATCATTAGATTTTTTATTTGCGCCGCAAAAGCACTATGAAATGGACTTCACTGCTCTAATATTACTTTGACAAATTTCATTAGATGAAAAATTTCATTAGTTGAAACACTACAGATGTATTGGGCCTAAGCTGTATTTGAAAATTCATTGCAGTTGAAGACCTTGTTTATAATTCTCTTATTCATTTTGTATTAGTTCAGTTCTCGTTCAGTTCTAGTTTAGTTCTAATTCAGTTCTAGTTCTAGTTCAGTTCTAGTTCAGTTCTAGTTCAGTTCTAGTTCAGTTCTAATTCAGTTCTAGTTCAGTTCTAGTTCAGTTCTAGTTCAGTTCTAGTTCAGTTCTAGTTCAGTTCCAGTTCAGTTCTAGTTCAGTTCTAGTTCAGTTCTAGTTCAGTTCTAATTCGATTCTAGTTCAGTTCTAGTTCAGTTCTAGTTTAGTTCTAGTTTAGTTCTAGTTTAGTTCTAGTTCAGTTCTAGTTCAGTTCTAGTTCAGTTCTAGTTCAGTTCTAGTTCAGTTCTAGTTCAGTTCTAGTTCAATTCTAGTTCAGTTCTAGTTCAGTTCTAGTTCAATTCTAGTTCAGTTCTAGTTCAATTCTAGTTCAGTTCTAGTTCAGTTCTAGTTCAGTTCTAGTTCAGTTCTAGTTCAGTTCTAGTTCAGTTCTAGTTCAGTTCTAGTTCAGTTCTAGTTCAGTTCTAGTTCAGTTCTAGTTCAGTTCTAGTTCAGTTCTAGTTCAGTTCTAGTTCAGTTCTAGTTCAGTTCTAGTTCAGTTCTAGTTCAGTTCTAGTTCAGTTCTAGTTCAGTTCTAGTTCAGTTCTAGTTCAGTTCTAGTTCAGTTCTAGTTCAGTTCTAGTTCAGTTCTAGTTCAGTTCTAGTTCAGTTCTAGTTCAGTTCTAGTTCAGTTCTAGTTCAGTTCTAGTTCAGTTCTAGTTCAGTTCTAGTTCAGTTCTAGTCCAGTTCTAGTTCAGTTCTAGTTCAGTTCTAGTTCAGTTAAGTTCTTTGATAATAAAATAACGAGTCCCAGTTGAGGACCTTCTTTATAATTCTCGGATTTTACTTGTAATTCTTTTACAGAATGAAAGCGTTGTATGTAGAGCATGCTAAATTTAAGCAACTTTGATCGGGCAAATATTATTAAAAAAAGTTCTTCAGAAAAAAATACTGTGTCAGTACCAGATTCAGTTTTTTGCGAAATTGCGAGAAAATAAATAAATCTATTATATCCGATTTTAAGTTTAAATTTGGATGTCATAAAATCATATGAGGATTTATGGGATTGTGCATATTATTTAGAAGAAATGTGATCTGAGAGAGATGATTATGATTCCCTTATTTATTTCAAAAATTCCCGAATTTATTAATTGTTAAAATTTCGTTTATTATTTGTTCCCAAAATTAAAGTGTTTTCGATTTCTGTATTCAATTTCTTTTACACAAATCTTTGATAAATATGAACAAATTGTTTCCAAGCATGTGGGAATCGAACAATGAGGCGCACCTTGTAAATTGACTTATTAATTATGTAATTTATTTTTTAATTGTATTATTGCAGTTTTCAATTATTTCAAATACAAAATATGTATAATTAATTTAATGTATTTTTTTGTTTAATTTAATCATATCTGTAACTGTATCTTTATCTGTATCTGTAACAAAATTTAAAAAAAAAAAAATATACATACATACTTACCAAGTTATATGATTTTTCTGGTTAGGTTTCTGTCACCAGCTATTTTTTCCCCAAAAATCTATTACTTTTACTGATTTAACAATTTTCAAAATTATATATGTATCTATGCATAACATAACTGGTACCAAGCAAATCTCTATATATATATTTCCGAAAAAGATTAAAAAAGAGAGTAAAATTAAGGAATTGGTTGGTTGGTTGTATGTTTAAATTGTACTGTAAGAAGACATCGGCGCTTTTTATGAATTCTTATACATTTTCAGGTCTTGCTTGTCAAACAAACATTCACATTAATAAGGATGATAATATATTTATTCAAACATTGGCAAATTCGGTTCGTATATTTTGAAACTAACAAACCATATTTAGAACAGAACTATTTACAAAACCAAAAAAAAAAAGATTGTTGCAAAAAATTACAAACTTAAATATAAAATTTAAAAAAAAGGAACGTTTCATTTTAACGACTTGTGTCTGTGTCATGAAAAGATTTAGTGTCGTTTTTTTTTGGATTCCGAAACCTTGTTTTTGTGTATGTGTATTTAGTTGATTATATGTTTTTTTTTCGTTTTTTTGTCAAATATTTAAAATATCATTTTATTTTTGGTATAATTTATACTTTTTTCCAGTGTTTAGATGCTTTTTTACAAATTTTCAGTTGTTTTTTAACACACTTTTTAGATAAAAAAATAATAATATGAAATATTTAGTAAACAATTATATAATGGAACAATTTGAGAACAACATTTATATTAAGCAAACACTAGGTAACAAAAAAAAACTAACAAAATAAAAAGATTTTATATAGAAACTAGTATAAATTTAGAATGTTACAAATACATGAATGCTGAGATGAGCTTTTATTTTATACAATATATTAATAAATACATACAAATATACTTACATATATATATTTATTATTTATAATTATTTTATTTAGTTTAGGTTTAAAAGAAAAACCCCCAAAAAACAAAATAAAAAAAAAATACTTTTATACCTAAAGATTTTCTTATATTACGGAACTAATATGAAATATTTGATTTCATTTCCCAGACTACAACACTGATTGGTCTATTGAAAACAGCACGTTTGTTGCGTTTGGTAAGAGTTGCGCGTAAAATCGATCGTTATTCGGAATATGGAGCAGCAGTTTTGGTATTACTGATGGCTACTTTTGTCCTAATTGCCCATTGGTTGGCTTGTCTATGGTAATGTGATTTTATTCTAATATTTTTTATGCTAATGTGTTGTCCAATTAATTGGATTGCCTTTTAAAGGGATCAATTGTGGCTTTTAAACTCTGTAAAGTAATATTAAGTAAAAGTTTTGCTATAAAATTTTATTTTAGTTATAATATTAATTGTATAAATAATAACCATATGCTTGTCACAAACATATATTATGTACATAGGTAGTTATATCATTGGCCTCTACCGCATATGTATTTCAAAACCCAAAATACTTGAAATTTAAAAGAAAACTACATATATAAAAGCTAGTAAATGTATAAAATTTTATAGCAAAATTTTTGAAATTTCTAAAACAGAGTTTGAATGTTAACTTTCCAATTTTTATGCAATACTTTAACTTGTTGCTGTAATTTTTTTTATTGTTAATATTTTTTCTTACAGTGTATAATTTATTATTCGTAATTTTAACATTGTCTTAGAGAATTTTTCTTGCATCAAATTTATACGTATTAATGTAATAGCGCTTGTTAATTTTCATCCATGTATAATTGTTATAATTTTATAAAAACAAAATCAAGATATCTAGAAAAGTGGTTCTCAACAACGATATATATATATATGTTTGTATATATTGCACAAGTAATCTGCAGTGTAAAACCTGCAATAAGCCATACTTTTGCGACAGTTTGTTTAACCATCAAAATTATAGAAAATGTGAATCCTTTTCGTTTCTTTATTGTAACATTAATTAGCAACTCTAGCTCTATTTATTTCCGCAACATAACCCCACTTTCTTAAGACAAGTTCGAAAATGCCAAAATATTTCATGTTGCTGATGATTGTCGTCCCACTACTAAAGAGGAAAGTTTTGGGCTTTATTAACCCACTCGGGTTGGGTTCAGAGGTACTCAAAGTATGGCATCTTTTTCACTTAAATATTTTTTATGGCGCAGTGTTATAAAGCCATAGGTAATAAAGCCATATGACCTTATTTCTCAATGAAATGAGAAATATAACCATATGGCTTTATTGCCTACACCCAAGTGCAATATCACCATAAACTAAAAGTAACCAAAGTGGAAATAACGCCATAACAGTGAAATAGTTACGGTTACAAATTGCCAAAAGAATCAGTTGCCAATAATTCCTCAAAATTCAAAAATGAAATAAATCCCTAAAAATATTTTTGGGAAGTTATTTCATTATATTACTTTTATATCACGAAATAAAAAAAATATATGTTTGATAGCCGGCCTTCGGCCGGGCGCCAGGGTTTTCTCCTCTGAGATATATTGGACACCGGCTTCGCTAAAAATACACTTTCCGTGTAACAAGAGCGTTCGACCGTAGGCCGGCTATTTAGGAAATCTTTACTAAGCGAAGCCGGTGTTGGACATACCATAGAGAAGAAAGTCCTTGCGCCCGGCCGTAGGCCGGCTATTTAGGAAATCTTTACTAAGCGAAGCCGGTGTTGGACATATTATAGAGTTGTAAATCCTTGCGTCCGGCCGTAGGCCGGCTATTTAGGAAATATTTATTAAGCGAAGCCGTTGTTGAAATGAAAAAAATTAAATGAGCAATAACACCATAATGGTTTTATTTCATTCCTTACATGGAAATAAAGTCATATGGCCTTATTTCTCAATGAAATGAGAAATATAACCATATGGCTTTATTACCTATGGCTTTATAACACGGCGCCATTTTTTATATAGTTAACAAATGTCTTAAGCCGCCTTTACACGATCACACAAATAATATGATCTGTCAAAATTTTGTGTAAAACAGTACGCATGGGATAGTCTAAACGCAATATGTAATGAAACCATCATACATTGAGAGAAAATATGTAGGGAAAATTTCACAGTTGTATGGCTCTTTTCATTTATTTAAAATGATAAAAAAACTAGCAAGTCGCATTAGATCAGGGATGTATTTTTATGTAATACATAAAAAATGAAACATCTGTTTTCATCTTACTTTGTTATTGTTTTATAAAATCTTCTAAACACAAAATAAATAAATCATACGACTTTTAAATATCATTTTACTTGTTCATTAGACTTTACGTACGTAAAGTGTGATCGTGTAAAGGGCCCTTTAGATAGCCTAGGAAATACACCTATGCCACTATCGGGAAAGTTATGTTCATGGAAAATGTTTGGTTAAAACAAACAAATCGTCCGATGTTCTGTAATTTAGTTTCCTGGACGTAATTCCTAAGAATTTTCCAATCATTGTTAATGGGATCTAATTTCGACAGATAGCCAGACAAAGAAAGTACTCCATGTCCGTTGAAATACACCTATACCACTATCGGGAAAGTTATGTTCATGGAAAATGTTTGGTCAAAACAAACAAATCGTCCGATGTTCTGTAATTTAGTTTCCTGGACGTAATTCCTAAGAATTTTCCAATCATTGTTCGTGAGGAATGTTATATCCGGAATAATATCACTTCCAAGTTAATGGGATCTAATTTCGACGATCACCAGACAAAGAAAGTACTCCATGTCCTGTTTGAATCCGCAGGCCCAATTTTATATAGTGGTTCCGGTAATCCTAAAATCGTAAATACGTACCATCTCCTTAGGGTCACACCATATGATCTTTATGGTTCTATCCAACGTCTTATTATTACAAGAGGACTTATGGGATTCTTTTTAAAGTAAGTTAATTCACTCTTTCATTGCCGACTACACCCGAGTGGCCTGTTATCTATATGATGCAAATCTTACTTATGTGAGAATGTTTGGTTAAAGCTTTCTTAAATCCAATATGGTCTTAGATTTAACCTTTTCACCTGATATCGCCCTAATTACCATCAATTTGCACATTCTGGCCTTCTGCCTGTAAGTTGATGTCGTAATTAGGCAGATGGTAGTATATGTATTTCTTTTTCATCGATTTCTATATAGAACTTAGGCCCAGTTAAGAGCCATCCGTATAGCAACGAATTCCTACGGGTTTTTGCTCTAATGTTCCGCTTAACAATGATATTCTATATGGGATCAGTGTTTCAAAATCCCAACCTATTCTGTGTCTGGCAGCTTTCGGGCACGTCCGATATTTGTTGTGTTAAGCCTTTCAATTTGTCCAGTATAGGACATGTCCTATAACTGCCTATAAGTGCCATAATCATTTAGTCTTTTATCCAGGATGCCCTGGCATGGGGAACTTAACCCCGACAACACTTCCTTTCCAGACATTCGAAATTTTATTGAAATTGACCTTTATTTTCAACATTCGTCCCACTATGCGTCATTAAAAGTGACCTAATAAAGATCTCTGCATCTGATGTAAATTATATATCGTTTTTAATTCCTTAGGAAGTCCTTCTTTTGGTTGGGTACTATTAGAGGTTCTAGAACTCTTAATTAAAAGTTTTATTTTTCACATTATATTATTGTTATATGAGAACCACTGATCTAGAATATATATATATTTAAATGTTTATAAATGTATAAATTAAATTTAAGAGAAAATTGGTCTTACTTTTTATCTATAAAGTGACATCTTTTAAAAGATGTTCGATAACTTTATATGTAAAAAGCGGATTAAGCAAGAACATTGTTTGATAAGTCGTCTATTTTATGGTGAATGATCTCTGTTGAATCAATTAATTATAAAAAATATTCAAAATTTACTAAACTATAACAAAGTTTTGAAATTGATTTATGCATTTAAAAAAATAGCATGTTTAAGAACTCATCAAACAATATGTTTGCTGCAGATCAAAATATGATCGCCCTAAGCAAAAACCTAATCTAAAACAGTAATACTAACTAAATTAATTGCTTTTGCTGGAAAATATGCATATACTAGATATAACTGTAATTAACAATTAATATGTTTTCACTTTGAACACATATATGGTGGGACATTTTCAATATTTTTATACTGAAATCATAATATTAGATTTTTTATAATTTAGTTTTTAAAAATCTAAATATGATTGCATATGGACAAGCAGTTTTTCGTTTTCTTTGTAAACAATACTATATACAAATATTTGGAGCCGCTGAACATCATTTTAAATTCAAATTGTTTGCCTACTACTACTACTACGTTAAAGATAAAAACTGGACCAGCCTTAAAACCCGCCCCCAAAAAGACAAAAAATTCATATGTTATTTTAAACTTATGTTATTGAATGTTTGTGCTATATATACCATATATTTTTTTGTTTGGAATGCTCTGTGAATGAAAACGCTGTTAAAAAATTGCTTTAATGTTAAGAAAAAAAAAAATGAAAGCTATAATCAAGCGTTTTAATTTTGGTTTATTTTGAAAATTTATTTATTCAAATTTTACAACAACTACTAGAGCAGTTAATGTTGTTAAACCTATGTTCCTAATTAGTGTCTAATAAACGTTTTCTATCCGCTGGACGGAATAATAAAGTCCATTCGTAGCTAATGCTGTTGGACGTTGTTGTAATAATTCCTTTTTTTTAGGTATGCTCTTGGTAATGCTGACGTATAATGTTATCCAAAAAATATAGGCTGGTTACATACTTTGGGAAATGATATTGACGAACCCTATTTTGAAAATAAAACCGGTGGTCCTTCTATCAAGGTAAACAAAATAAAAATCAAGAAAATCGAATTTCAATTAAAAATTGGGGTGTTGGTGGTGGATGTCGTGTTGAACCGTCAGTTAACGCAAAACATTTTTACATTTTACAGTCCCGGTATATAAACCGCGCTATATTTTACATTTACATCCTTAACCTCGGTGGGATTCGGTAATGTGGCTCCAAATACAGATGCAGAGAAAATTTTTACAATATGTGTTATGTTGGTGGGATGTAAGTTAACTTTTTGTATTAACTTTTTTTGTAACCGTATACGAATCCATCCATGTATATATTAGCATTTATTGAATATACTAATTTTCAGCCTTAATGTATGCTAATATTTTCGGTAATGTTTCGGCCATTATACAACGATTGTATTCGGGTACAGCCCGCTATCATACACAAATGTTAAGAGTGCGAGAGTTTATAAGATTTCATCAGGTATTACAAAATTAACAGTCAAATCCTGTCTATAACGTTCGAATGCCCCTAAAACATTCAAAAAAAACGTTATAGTCATGTTTCACTGTAAATCTGTTGATATCCTATAATAGTGATGGCCATGTGACCTGATTAATTAAATCGCAATCTAACGGGTTTTTAAGTTATATTTTTGGATTCCTTTTTTTGGAACTTGCAATGTTGAAACTAAAAAAAACTTTAGGTCACATATCCAGCACTATTGTACATTTTCGTTAGCTTCTTATGTTGGTGTTGATAAAGAACGAAAATACTTTCTCTAGATACCCAATCCTTTAAGGCAGCGTCTAGAAGAATATTTCCAACATGCCTGGACCTATACCAATGGCATTGATATGAATTCCGTTTTAAAGGGCTTCCCGGAATGTCTACAGGCTGATATTTGTTTACATTTGAATCGTAAATTGTTACAAAATTGTCCTGCATTTTCCGGTGCTAGTCCTGGTTGTTTAAGGTATTTACACATACTCATGCTACAAAAAAAAACTCATTGATCATTTGCAAAATTTATAGAAACTTCTTTACACTAATTTGTTTTTTGTTTTATTTCTGGAACTCTAGAGCGTTATCACTAAAATTTAAAACCACTCATGCGCCGCCTGGTGATGTTTTGGTGCATAAGGGTGATGTTTTGACCTCTTTGTTTTATAGCCAGAGGATCAATAGAAATTCAAAAGGAAAATACAACTATAGTTATATTGGGTAAGTAACACATTCTGTAGTAAAACTGATCGTGGTTTACTTTTTTGGAGACAATATTTAATAATTAGCACAATTACTTTTTATTACGTACGTTTGACGTTATTTTTACGAAATAAGATACAAATAATTTCAGTAATGCTAATTAAGCAACTTCTGAATTACTCGTTCCACTAAATAAACATGTTCTACAAATATTGATGGACGTGATTGAAGTTAATTTTAGGTTGGGCTTAAAAAAATGTTTATAGACTAGACTATAGATTAGACTATAGACTACACAGACCTATAGACTAGACTATAGACTAGATTATAGACTAGATTATAGACTAGACTTAGACTAGATATAGACTAGACTATAGACTAGACTATAGACTAGACTATTGACTAGACTATAGACTAGATATAGACTAGACTATAGACTAGACTATAGACTAGACTATAGACTAGACTATAGACTAGACTATCTAGATATAGACTAGACTATAGACTAGACTATAGACTAGACTATAGACTAGACTATAGACTAGACTAGACTAGACTAGATAGACTATAGACTAGAATATAGACTAGACTATAGACTAGATATAGAGCTATAGACTATAGAGCTAGACTATAGATATATATTAGAGTCTATAGATAGTCTATATAGTCTATAGTATAGAGATATAGACTAGACTATAGTCTAGTATAGTCTAGTCTATAGTCTAGTCTATAGTCTAGTCTATAGTCTAGTCTATAGTAGTCTATAGTCTAGTCAATAGTCTAGTCTATAGTCTAGTCTATAGTCTAGTCTATTCTAGTCTAAAGTCTAGTCTATAATCTAGTCTATAATCTAGTCTATAGTCTAGTCTATAGTCCAGTCTGTAGTGTAGTCTATAGTCTAATCTATAGTCTAGTCTATAAACATTTTTTTAAGCCCAACCTAAAATTAACTTCAATCACGTCCATCAATATTTGTAGAACATGTTTATTTAGTGGAACGAGTAATTCAGAAGTTGCTTAATTAGCATTACTGAAATTATTTGTATCTTATTTCGTAAAAATAACGTCAAACGTACGTAATAAAAAGTAATTGTGCTAATTATTAAATATTGTCTCCAAAAAAGTAAACCACGATCAGTTTTACTACAGAATGTGTTACTTACCCAATATAACTATAGTTGTATTTTCCTTTTGAATTTCTATTGATCCTCTGGCTATAAAGAACAAAGAGGTCAAAACATCACCCTTATGCACCAAAAACAATCACAGGCGGCGCATGAGTGGTTTTAAATTTTAGTGATAACGCTCTAGAGTTCCAGAAATAAAACAAAAAACAAATTAGTGTAAGAAGTTTCTATAAATTTTGCAAATGATCAATGAGTTTTTTTTTGTAGCATGAGTATGTGTAAATACCTAACAACCAGGACTAGCACCGGAAAATGCAGGACAATTTTGTAACAATTTACGATTCAAATGTAAACAAATATCAGCCTGTAGACATTCCGGGAAGCCCTTTAAAACGGAATTCATATCAATGCCATTGGTATAGGTCCAGGCATGTTGGAAATATTCTTCTAGACGCTGCCTTAAAGGATTGGGTATCTAGAGAAAGTATTTTCGTTCTTTATCAACACCAACATAAGAAGCTAACGAAAATGTACAATAGTGCTGGATATGTGACCTAAAGTTTTTTACTTAGTTTCAACATTGCAAGTTCCAAAAAAAGGAATCCAAAATATAACTTAAAAACCCGTTAGATTGCGATTTAATTAATCAGGTCACATGGCCATCACTATTATAGGATATCAACAGATTTACAGTGAAAACATGACTATAACGTTTTTTTTGAATGTTTTAGGGGCATTCGAACGTTATAGACAGGATTTGACTGTTAATTTTGTAATACCTGATGAAATCTTATAAACTCTCGCACTCTTAACATTTGTGTATGATAGCGGGCTGTACCCGAATACAATCGTTGTATAATGGCCGAAACATTACCGAAAATACTAGCATACATTAAGGCTGAAAATTAGTATATTCAATAAATGCTAATATAATACATGGATGGATTCGTATACGGTTACAAAAAAAGTTAATACAAAAAGTTAACTTACATCCCACCAACATAACACATATTGTAAAAATTTTCTCTGCATCTGTATTTGGAGCCACATTACCGAATCCCACCGAGGTTAAGGATGTAAATGTAAAATATAGCGCGGTTATATACCGGGACTGTAAAATGTAAAAATGTTTTGCGTTAACTGACGGTTCAACACGACATCCACCACCACACCCCAATTTTTAATTGAAATTCGATTTTCTTGATTTTTATTTTGTTTACCTTGATAGAAGGACCACCGGTTTTATTTTCAAAATAGGGTTCGTCAATATCATTTCCCAAAGTATGTAACCAGCCTATATTTTTTGATAACATTATACGTTCAGCATTACCAAGAGCATACCTAAAAAAAGGAATTATTACAACAACGTCCAACAGCATTAGCTACGAATGGACTTTATTATTCCGTCCAGCGGATAGAAAACGTTTATTAGACACTAATTAGGAACATAGGTTTAACAACATTAACTGCTCTAGTAGTTGTTGTAAATTTGAATAAATAAATTTTCAAAATAAACCAAAATTAAAACGCTTGATTATAGCTTTCATTTTTTTTTTTTCTTAACATTAAAGCAATTTTTAACAGCGTTTTCATTCACAGAGCATTCCAAACAAAAAAAATATATGTATATATAGCACAAACATTCAATAACATAAGTTTAAATAACATATGAATTTTTTGTCTTTTTGGGGGCGGGTTTTTAAGCTGGTCCAAGTTTTTATCTTTAACGTAGTAGTAGTAGTAGGCAAACAATTTTGAATTTAAAATGATGTTCAGCGGCTCCAAATATTTGTATATAGTATTGTTTACAAAGAAAACGAAAACTGCTTGTCCATATGCAATCATATTTAGATTTTTTAAAAAACTAAATTATAAAAAATCTAATATTATGATTTCAGTATAAAAATATTGAAAATTCCCACCATATATGTGTTCCAAAGTGAAAACATATTAATTGTTAATTACAGTTATATCTAGTATATGCATATTTTCCAGCAAAAGCAATTAATTTAGTTAGTAATTACTGTTTTAGATTAGGTTTTTGCTTAGGGCGATCATATTTTGATCTTGCAGCAAAACATATTGTTTGATGAGTTCTTAAACATGCTATTTTTTTTAAATGCATAAATCAATTTCAAAACTTTGTTATAGTTTAGTAAATTTTGAAATATTTTTTATAATTAATTGATTCAACAGAGATCATTCACCATAAAATAGACGACTTATCAACAATGTTCTTGCTTAATCCGCTTTTTACATATAAAGTTATCGAACATCTTTTAAAAGATGTCACTTTATAGATAAAAAGTAAGACCAATTTTCTCTTAAATTTAATTTATACATTTATAAACATTTAAATATATATATATATTCTAGATCAGTGGTTCTCATATAACAATAATATAATGTGAAAAATAAAACTTTTAATTAAGAGTTCTAGAACCTCTAATAGTACCCAACCAAAAGAAGGACTTCCTAAGGAATTAAAAACGATATATAATTTACATCAGATGCAGAGATCTTTATTAGGTCACTTTTAATGACGCATAGTGGGACGAATGTTGAAAATAAAGGTCAATTTCAATAAAATTTCGAATGTCTGGAAAGGAAGTGTTGTCGGGGTTAAGTTCCCCATGCCAGGGCATCCTGGATAAAAGACTAAATGATTATGGCACTTATAGGCAGTTATAGGACATGTCCTATACTGGACAAATTGAAAGGCTTAACACAACAAATATCGGACGTGCCCGAAAGCTGCCAGACACAGAATATGTTGGGATTTTGAAACACTGATCCCATATAGAATATCATTGTTAAGCGGAACATTAGAGCAAAAACCCGTAGGAATTCGTTGCTATACGGATGGCTCTTAACTGGGCCTAAGTTCTATATAGAAATCGATGAAAAAGAAATACATATACTACCATCTGCCTAATTACGACATCAACTTACAGGCAGAAGGCCAGAATGTGCAAATTGATGGTAATTAGGGCGATATCAGGTGAAAAGGTTAAATCTAAGACCATATTGGATTTAAGAAAGCTTTAACCAAACATTCTCACATAAGTAAGATTTGCATCATATAGATAACAGGCCACTCGGGTGTAGTCGGCAATGAAAGAGTGAATTAACTTACTTTAAAAAGAATCCCATAAGTCCTCTTGTAATAATAAGACGTTGGATAGAACCATAAAGATCATATGGTGTGACCCTAAGGAGATGGTACGTATTTTACGATTTTAGGATTACCGGAACCACTATATAAAATTGGGCCTGCGGATTCAAACAGGACATGGAGTACTTTCTTTGTCTGGTGATCGTCGAAATTAGATCCCATTAACTTGGAAGTGATATTATTCCGGATATAACATTCCTCACGAACAATGATTGGAAAATTCTTAGGAATTACGTCCAGGAAACTAAATTACAGAACATCGGACGATTTGTTTGTTTTGACCAAACATTTTCCATGAACATAACTTTCCCGATAGTGGTATAGGTGTATTTCAACGGACATGGAGTACTTTCTTTGTCTGGCTATCTGTCGAAATTAGATCCCATTAACAATGATTGGAAAATTCTTAGGAATTACGTCCAGGAAACTAAATTACAGAACATCGGACGATTTGTTTGTTTTAACCAAACATTTTCCATGAACATAACTTTCCCGATAGTGGCATAGGTGTATTTCCTAGGCTATCTAAGGGCCCTTTAACACGATCACACTTTACGTACGTAAAGTCTAATGAACAAGTAAAATGATATTTAAAAGTCGTATGATTTATTTATTTTGTGTTTAGAAGATTTTTATAAAACAATAACAAAGTAAGATGAAAACAGATGTTTCATTTTTATGTATTTACATAAAAATACATCCCTGATCTAATGCGACTTGCTAG